AATCCGCCATTTTGGATAACCCCAGTAATCAAATTCCATCAAACTCGAAAACCCATCTTCAAACCCCAGCTAGACCTAAACTAAACCCTAATTTTTCTTCTTCCACCCTCTTTTTCACATACATATCCCTAGCTAAACCTAAACTAAACCCTAATTAATATATATATATATATATATATATATATATATATATATATATATATATATAAATACGTTCCCTAACCAAACTTTGTTTCAACCACTTACCAAAACCATCTCTTGCTGGGCTAAAACACAAAGGCAAAAACTCATTCGTATCACACCGAAATGTAGACTTCTCAAAGTGATCCACCAGTGCCTCCTTCCCCTGCCAATTAACCATTTTAATTACTATATATTGTGTGTGTACATATAAATATGTTAAAATTTCATCGTCAGGACCATCGTCTCCACGCCTGAGTTGTAGAAACTAGAAGCCGCAGCCGCAGCTGCAGCTCAAGACCAGCCGCCGGTAGATCTCCCGAAGCGGACTCCAGTGGGCAGAGCTAGGGTTCACATCGCCAACCCAAAGGAGGCAATCGAGGTCTTTGTCGATGGCTATCCTATCAAAATCCCCAAATGCATGACCGTGGTACAGGCCTGCGAGGTCGCCGGCGTCGACATTCCCCAATTTTGTTACCACAGCCGCCTCTCCATCACCGGCAACTGCCGTATGTGCCTCATCGAAGTCAAGAAGTCGCCCAAGCCAGTCGTTTCTTGCGCCATGCCTGCCTTATGCGACTGCTTCTGAGGGTAAAAGTGAGTTGGCAGTGGACGACGGTGATTAGGTGGCAAAGATGGCAGCTAGTAGAGAGAGAATGAAAAGGAGGGAAGGGTAAGAGTGAATAGGGTTTTACAATCAATAAATTTCAATTGTGATTTGGTTTGCAATCAATAAATTTCAATTGGGTTGCAACATGCGTGATTGAGTCTCTGTAAATTTAATAGATTTATCAAGTGTGATTGGGGATGGAGGAGTTGGCAAGATAGATTCATCGCCAATTTGAAGGTATGATTGGAATTAGCCCATTGGAAAGCCTCATATCTTTCCTCGTCTTTCACAGTCATCACAATGATCACAAAACGTTTCAAATTCTCAGAGGATGAAGAGCAATTATCAAATTATATGATTTTTTTTTTTTTTGGCATTTCCTGACCCAGATTCCAACAAATTTTTTTAGAAAGCGGGTGAAGAAGATGAGCAGTGATATATAAATATACATATATATATATATGTGTGTGTGTGTGTGTATGTCCATACGTGATTTTAATCTTATAAATTATACTATTAAAGTGTTTGAGCCTGTCCAGAAGGGTGAGCTTGGGGATATTTTCGGAATAACATATATAAATATATATCACTTGTTTGTCACATGTTACTCTAGGGGTATTTTGGTCACAAAATTCACTTTGGCAAAGCAATTGTTAATCTTACGTTGGGTTAATGGCTTCATTTGACAAAGTTGGGGTAAAATGATAATGTTGTTATATTGTTGGGGATTTTTAAAACTAGTTGGGATTTTATGATCATTTTTTTACAGTAGTGGGGGTTTTGAGAAATTTGCCCTATATTTTTTTTATAGAATTAGAAAACATGTATGATAGGGTCCCAAGAGATGGGCTCTTCAAAGAAAATAAATCCCCTTGCAAATCATAAAAAAATCCAAAATATGTATATAAATACAAAAATTAAAGTTAGTACCTGCATGGTGAAACTAGTGAGTTTTCCATAAATGTATGGTTGCACCATGGATAAGTGCTAAACCCATTACCTATTTTCAATAATCATAGAAATAACAAAAGAATTTCGAAACGAGATTCCATGGTGCATGATGTTTAAAGAGAACTTAGCAATAAAACTAGAAACGTGGAGAAATGCTTTAGAATCGAGAATTAGTCAAACTAAAAGTGAGAATATGAAGTGTAAATTTAATAAAGAATCGGACATTGATAATATAATAATAGCACTTTAAGGCCAAAAGATTACTCAAAACAACCACTTTGGTTATCTAGGATCAATAATACAAAAGGATGGATAGATAAATAGTGATGTAACTAGTAGAATTGGAGTCGATTTCACAAAATGGAGACAATCTAGTGGGATTTTATGTGATAAAAGAATATCACATAGGCTAAAAGAAAATTTTTATAACACTGTTATTAGACCAACTATGTTGTATGGAACGGAGTGTTGGGCCTTAAAATAGAAATAGAGCAGTGCCTTAATGTAGCGGAAATTAGAAAGATGGAATGACTAAAAGAAATAGGGTTACTAATGAAAGAGAGAAAAATTAGGCGTAGCACCCATTGATGAGAAAACTAGAGAGAGTAGACTTTGATGGCTTGAACACATACATTGGAGAACTAAAGACACACTAGTCGAGCAAGGAATACTAGTGGTCAAGCATGGATCTAAGAGTGGCTTGCCCCCACTGAATTTTTTTTGGGTTGAGGTTGGCGCATATTTCACCTAGATGGAAATTTGGTTTTTAGCGACCACTTAGACCCTAATTAGTGGCTTAACATTTCACTTACACCCCAAATGTCAATTTTTGGTGTTAAATGACTATGTTACCCTTTGACCTCGTGTTGACTATTTTTTGTGACTAAACTGCCCCCAACACACAGTTGCTCTTCTTCCTCCTCTCAGACAATCATCCCAATTAACCCACACCATCTTCTGTTGGGGAAGTGAGGCGAAAGTGTAGATTTGCAAAGTGAGACCTCTCTGATATTTGTGAAGAGAGAAAGAGAATGATTCATATATATAGAGAGAGAATGATTCACATATATATAGAGAGAGGAGCCCAATAAATAGAACAGGGGAGGCGAATATAGGTCGGCGGTTAAGAGGGTTGGGAGATTGGTTCGGCAATGGATGACTAGCGGCGGCTCAGATGACAGTGACGGCGTGCTCGGGCGGTGGCTGTGGATGAACTACAGCTATGCGCGAGTGAGTCTGATCGGCGAGGATGAGGGAGCTCGGCGATGGACGGGATGACTGAATCGGCGGCCACCGAATGGGATGAACTCTTGGCGGTCAGTTGTGAGATCGAAACAGCTAGGATGAGGGAGCTCGGCGATGGACGGGATAACTGAATCTCGAGCTCGCCGCCACCATCATCCAAAGCCACAAGCTCGCCATCATCCAGACGGTCCCTAAGCTTGGGTTTTCTACAACGCGAGAACTTCTCGATGGAGATAATCGAGAGCATATTGCTGGAGGACCTCCAACCGACGGTCAAGATCTGCATCGACAGTCACCAATCGCCATCGATCGCGGTAAATAGGACCTTCAACACGTCGTAACTCATTTTATGTGTGTATATATTATACATAAATATATAAATATATATTACTCATTTTATTTAAGTATTTGTAATATAAATTTAAAATTTGTTTTACCAATAATTTATAATTATAATAGTACAAGTATTAACTACATAAATAAAAAATAGTACAAGTATTTACTGAAATATGTTGGTCATTGGATTTTTTTATGTACAATGGTATCGGATTATGATACATGGTAAGGAGTTGAATCTCTCAAAAACCGTTTGCACCCTAAAAATATTCGACCACATGATATTGATTGATTTGTAGAAATTCTGATTCTCTGGTGCTGATTGGCCAGGAACAATATAGCGTTGCTAGAGGAGAATGATTTCTAGACTTTTATTCAGAAAAGGAGTCTAAATTAGCATGCAACTTCCTGATTCAGCTCACTCGGCGATCGAAGAGTTTTACTTCAACTAGTTGGTGATGGTTGATTGGAAGTTTGGTTTCTTTTACAATGGTTGCATCAACAGGGAATTACTTCCAGGTGTTTGCACTTTAAATTAATTCTAATTTGGCCACGTGGCACCGATTGATTGGAGGATGATATGATGTGTTAATTTTAAGGCTCTTATTCAAAATTGGAGTCTTAGTCAACATATTAAAGTATATATATTAAAGTAATTTCCTAATTTAGTAATATAGTGCAGTGCCATGTCAGCAAGAAGTCCCATTCCACAGGAGGAATTGATTGGGAAACACGTGGCTTTGGATTAGTGCTAGGCAACAGAATTAATTATTAGAGATTTGAATTTAAACAGTATGAGAACCACAACTACTACAAAGCTTCTCTATAAATAGTGCTGGAGGGATATGCAGAAAAGGTCCACACGACCAACAGTAGAATTCTACTTTTTTTCAATTTCTTTTCAATTGTACTTCTTTCATAGCAGTAGTCTAGTACTAGTGTTAGAATCAAACTGTTGTACAAATTGTATAAAAATTATGCTTATGAAATATGATGGACGTCAAAACTTAGTGTTCCCTCCATTGTTGTTTTGTAAGTTCTTTGGGATTGATAGACGCTTGTGCAATTAATGTTGCTTCATTCAATTCCAGCCCTTGTTTTGTTAAAAGTCATCTTCATTGAGGCCTAAATGAACTTAACGGAAGGGCTATCTTTGCCTTTCAGCAATTGCTTGATTCATTTAGGACCAATTCCAAATTCGGTTGATACCAATAATAGTTTGGCTGTCCAACCCTTCTGAGTCGAAAGACTCTCACACCTAAATTAAGAGCCAAATAAAAACCTAGCATTATTAGATTAAGAATCACATTGGTGGCACATTAACATCAAGAACATATTGAAAATGATGAAATTTTTCTAATTTATTTGAGTTTCAAAGTAAATTCAATGATACACAAAACCCATTCCTTATCATTATTAAAATTAAAATTATGTGTAATCAAAATATAATTGTCTTGCTATGTAAAAATCTCATGTCATTGCAATTGGTTGACAATTTTCTCAAAAATCGATGAATTTGGTGAATCAGATAATGATATAGTTGTTATTTAGCGCCAGGGTTTGTTCCTTAGTTGAGCTCATCTTTATTCATTTACTACTCTTGTCACAATGCTCTGACAAGGAGCTCAAAATGAACATTGTTAGTAAAGAATGATCTTTTTTTGATACAAAAGCCATCTGTAGAAAAGCATAATCGTATAGAGATGACAGATCTTCCCATTCATGTATTTGATGCATGGAAAGCAAAAAGAGCATTTGCCTCCAAAAATCCAAAAAATACATGACTAAAATACTCCATCTACAGCTGAAATATCCTAATCAACCTGCTCTAAGAGAGAGAATACAAGGGAGAGAAGTTGCAAAAGCAAATCCCTATCACTGTTCTTTCCAGATTCTACCAGTCACCCTAAGCTTCAATTCCTTCCGGTCTCCCCCTGAGAAAAAAAGAGCCATGTTCCGTTGGATGATTAGACCATCGTAACTGTCACGAACCTTCCGGTGGCTGTCCCTTATGCTTCTAGGCACACCTTGCCAAACCATCTTCCTTCCATTCCCTCCAACTTCGAGACTGTAAGTGTAGTTCTTTGCCTCATTGTCATCACCCATGAACCGCAGGAATGCTATGTAGACGGGAGCCATCCCAAGCTGGAACGCTTCGAAATGCAAACAGAAATACTGTCCAAAGCAACTGAAAACCTGGAGGTCGGAAAAATTTACAGAACAGTTGCCAATGAACATTAGAAAGGCTCATTACACAACAACTGATCTGGTAAAATTAAAAGCCATATATACTGATGATTTCAATGAAACACCCCCATTCTAAATCCATGTTTTGCCTTACGCAACATGGAAAGGTCATATGTGCCAAGTGACCAAGGTTGCCAGTGACCTTCAGATTTCAACAAAATGGCAAAACAGCACCCCAATATCATAAATGGAGGGGCTATAAATGACGTCCGCATTAATTAAATAAGAACACACCCATTAAGAATTTAATCCAACAAAAAGACATAAATGACAGACAAAGCAATACCGTAAGCATCCATGTGGCATTTTCAACCTCATGTGGATTAGATTTGACATAACGATGGTTGAAAGTACTGCCATTGTGCATGTCAACTTTGTGATCGTCTTTCAGATGGGCCACCATATAAGGAATATCACCAATGACTGTGCACTCAGATCCAGCGTAGGGGCAAGTATAGGGTCTGAATACACATTGGGATTCATGTTTTAGCTTGCTATAGTAAGGGTAGATGCCTATGCACCCGAAACTCTGATATTTACATGGAAGTTCAAGTGATGCAGCCACCTTCTCCAATGCAAGACACCTGATATTGCCAAGTTCATGCCTGCATGTAGGGCACCGGTTGTGCACTCTAGGCTTGCAACCAGAACACAATGTGTGACCATTTGAACACTGCAAAAATAAAAATAAAAATGAAAATAAAAATATAATGAATAATAAATTGTGCAGCAATAAAATAAGCAAGAGTGACTAACAATAAAATTCTTCAAGGTTTGGCAAAATTACACGGACCTAGTATTTGCCCAAGTAGTATGACCTCTCCCACCCGAAAGGGTGGTGAGCGGTTCAAGCCTCAAATGAGGCAGTATGGTGTGTGCACACGTGTTGCTTTCCTAGCAAAAAAAACATAGGAGAAGTTGCATGTTCGCTTCAAACATGAATTTAATTCTCCTCAACTGAAGGAGAATATAAATTTGCATTGGTCTAACAGTGATTTTGATTGTGATAAAGATGGAAACATTAACTTCAAGAGCTAAAAAGACAAAATCAGATACTGAAATAAAGTACCAGAATTGTTGAGAGAAAAAAAAAACAAACAAACAAACAAACTATGGTTAATGATTTTCCTAAAAAACAAAAAATATTTGAAGAATTTAAAAGCAATTATTGCTATGCTGTTTTGTTCTGTTTCTAACAATGATTCTTTTCATGTTGCATTTGTTACTATCGCTACCACTCCCTTAATGAGTGCTATCTATTTTCCTAATGGTATTAGACTTCACATGAAGACAATAATTTGCAAAAGTTAACAGTAAAGGACGTCTATAAAAAGCCCGAAGTAAATGGAAGCTTGAAAATCTCTACACATATAGCACACCACCACATGGTATGATGTTTTGTTATTGGGTTTTACCCCAAAAGGCCTCATACCATTTGGAGATAGCACCACCTACATATATAGCACTTCCCCTTTCCACACCTGGGCGATGTGGGATCATGCCCCCATAGTAGCCTACCATTGCCTCACACCCCACGTAAGCAATAAAATCTCCTGTAGATAAGATTAATTTCTAGGTAGTAGAATTCGAAGTTTATAAAATTTCTAGTTTTGCTGAAGGTTCTAAAAGCTTGAAAAACTGATAAAGTCTGTTGGAGATAAAAGCAACTTAGGAATTGGTGAATCGTCTAACATTCCTTTTCCTGCATCCAAACCGAAAGTTGTCAAAGATTTCTCTTGCACAAAAGATGGCTGCATGTGCTTAGTTGTTCTTATTGGCAATAAAAAATGAGATACAAAATTTTATTGTTTTCAAAGGACCGAAAGTTTTTGAAAATTTGAATTTTTAAAAGGATGACCTATGTTAAGGAGATGATGAATTGTTCATCTCAAAAGCAATTGCCTTCAATGCCAAATATTGAAAAAGATAAAACTAAATTATTTAAGATGTTTCAAATAAGGAAGAGAAGAAAATGAAGAGAAGACGAAAAAGAAGAATAGGAAAGAAGAAAATAGAGAAGAAATTGGGAAGGATAATTATTGTATCTCCAATAATCATAATCAGGCATAACCCTAAAATATATCAAAGCCCTTGTAGAGGCAAACCCAAATTAAAAAGATATGAAACCTTAAAAAAATAATAAAAGAAAGAAAAATGACCCCAAAAATATAACCTATGTCTTGCGTGGCATGTGGGATCCATCATAACATAGTATGTGTATCTTAAGAAACTTCAACGCCTCACTTTAAACTTTTGTAACTTTTGAGTCTTGAACTGTTTTTAAATGATTTGGCTTTCTGACTCAGAAATTAAATTAATTTTGTTTGCATTTTTATTTATTTTTTTGATCCATTAAGCATTATTTTGGTAAGATTATCTACTCTTCATAGATTTTGAAATCCATGTTAATTAAGTATAACCCAAAACCAATTATTACTTATTTTTGAAATTATTTTTAGGGCTTTTCATCCTTGGTGCATTAGGGCTTTTCACTATAGTTAAGGTAGGGGTGTCTAACATCACCTGGAAAAAACCACACAAATATAACCAAATACTTGAGATGAAAAAAAAATGGAACCTGATGGATAGGAGGGTACATAGCATTTAAGCACACCGGGCACTCCAGTAGTTCACGGACACTGCTAGAGACAGTCACACTAGGTTTCAGAGCATTTTGAGCAGGGTCATTCACATGTTCACTGACATCCATCATGTCTTTTTGGGGAGGATCAATGACCTCAGGTTTATTCCGCATGTCTTCAAAATAAGCACTTCCAGTTGTCATCATAGCTAATATAACCAGTTGCTCGCTAGATAGAAATAAAGTCACTGCATTCTCCAACTTGTATTGAACACTGATAAAAAGTTCTGCGAAGAAGATGACACTAGTTTAACGTTAACATTCTCCATGCTACCAATCAGATTACTACTTCAACTGATTATGGCAAAAGTTCCTTCCATGGTGAGAGAAGAAAAATATAACCTTCCATTACAGGTAAAATGTTGCAAAAATGGAATTCTGTTTTGCTAGGGAAACTAGTTGCATTTTAAGTTCAACTAATAAAATGGTGTATCAGTTATTAAATCCATTTTATTTCCGGAATTGCAGCATTTGTTGTCATGGAAAGCAAACTTCTGTGTATCTTTTTTATTGTTTACTTTTCATCTATTCTTTGGAGTAAAACTTTCCTGTTTCATTCTCTAAACTAAAAGTATCTAGCATGAATTGCTACATAATATTTCCATTATTATGATATAAATTCAACTAGTATCAACTTAAACATTTGAGAAAAAATAAACTTATACATCATGCACAGGTCCCTTTCCGTAGTAACTGAAATGCACCAAAAGGGCACAACCATGAGGACAAACGATTTATAACAAAGGCAAGCTATATAAAACTATTCTTATCTCTCCCAATAACTCCACTAAAATAAATAAATAGATCAAATTAGAAAAATTTCCTTCCACAATGACAAGGAGCTCACCGCCAAGTATTTAATCTATGACATTTCTATCCCGTGAAAGGATTGTTCGATTTCTCTAAAACGAAATATTTTACAATATGCACAACAGATGCACCTACAACACAGCTTTGGATCTCCTATTCACTTTGCGCCCTTACCACTAACTCAGAAAATTACCCACTGATCTGGACATTGTTAGAACGCCAAATAGAACCCCCAAAAGGAACCAAGGCCCAAGGGTGGCTTGGTACCTTACAAGAGGATTGCATCTCAATTTTTCACCCTCCAAATCTATCCACCTTAACAATATCACCAATTGCATCTCTTAGATGCATATGGTGGGACGCAAACTTGGGTCCTATTATATACATCTAATGGATTCAACTTATTTGTCCGAGGACGTTGGTTCAAGTCCTCGATTTAAGTAGCATTGTCCATTTAGGTAATGACCACCATCGGCCATCCTAATGATATTGATGTCTTTTTGGTCTGCACTGAATGATATTTTATCAATTCCACATGCTAATAAAACAAATCTTTTTCCTATACTTATCAGTGACAAACAATGACAAATGCACGCCGAAAACCCTACTCAGATTTGCATGCTTAGCCTCCCATATAGCCCACGGTCATAATATCAACCCTAAGAGTTGCATGACTCTCACCTGGGATAGATCAAACTAACAGTAGTAAACCATATTAGATTGGCATTTCCCAAAGTCATAATATCGAACTCACACCCTTTTTTTCTTTCTTAAATGGTACTCATACCCTTTGGTAGGGTAAGGACTGAATTCCTTCCTTACCATCAGTAATAGAAAAAAAAAAGGCCTTTTAATGCATATGAAGCGTCCAAATGAGTGTATTGCATTCATATTACAAAAACAAAAAATAATCATAAACGATACCAATAGATGTATTAATGTTTCAGCAAACGGGCTGCTGATATCATGTAAAAATATCAAGAAAAAATATATTAAAATGTCAACACCTTCTACATTCCATGAAACAAGTTCCGATAAACCTTGACATATTGACACAATTTCAAATAAAAGTTAGTCATTAAAAAGCAAATCAAGGAAACTTTTTATCATAAAAATTCGTACATTTTCACTTGAATAATTTTACCACAAAATCTAGTTATCAATGCTATCTCCGTGTCTCCCTTTTATGAAGTTCTCAAACTATCACAACATCTCACCTACCAAAGTTATTCCTCAAATCACACTTAAAAAATATAAAAACTTTATTCCTTAATTCAGCGTCAGCCGCAATAAGTACTGAGTTAGGTATTGACCACCATCCTGATGATTTCGATTTCTCTGGTCCGCATTGATTGGTATTTTTATCAATTCCAAATGCTAATAAGACAGGTCTTTTCCTATACTTCTTGGTGACCAACAATGACAAACGAACGCCGATAACCCTAACCAGATTTGCATGCTTAACCTCCCAGGCATGCCTAAATCAAAGCACCAATAATAATAATAATAATAGCATATGATTACAGGAAAAAGAAACAAAACAATGTGGGTAATATGTACAAGGAAAATATTTGAATAAATAAGACAACGACATTTTAGTGACACAACAACAAAGAAATACAATTTTATGTATAAGAGATTTATTGTATTGTGAAAATTAACTTATGGTAAATTAGGGGGAAAAAAAAGAATAACTTACGATAAGTAAATTATATTCTTACATTTTAAAAATAACTTATGATAAATTGGGGAAAAAAAAAAGAATAACTTATGATAAGTAAATCTAATATTAACCCCAAGGTGTTGACCTAGTTGGAAAAGACTTGGACCTGATACCTCATGAGCATCAGGTCTCAGGATCGATTCGTGCTACGTGTAAATAATTCCTTGGAGGGGGGTGTGTGAGAACCAACTAGGAAAAAAAAAAAAAAAAGTAAATCTAATATTATTACAAGTGTTACATAAATATGCAAAGACAACAATATAGCATGTAACATATATACGCATGTGTAGATGTGTACATATACAAATATACATATCCAAACAAATAATTAGGAAGTACATTCTCCTACTCTCATGCCCACTCCTTGTTAAGATCTTCTTATATTTTTTTCTCTTTTTATAAGGTATAATTATAAAAGCTTCATATATCTTACTTCGATTGTGTTTATATTTATATAAATTTTATAAAAACCTTTAATTTGATATTTTTTAAAAAATTATGCTAAAAAAGGTTATGTCTATCATCCAAGGTTAAACAATTGAGTGACCTAGAAGTGGCCACCACATGTACGAAATTATGAATTCATTTCCATATTATGAACAGATCCAAGATGTGTCAAACATGATCTGGAACTATGTAAGTGTCAATGTCCAACATAAACAATACTTATAAGTGTCTTTGCTTTTCAAACCACTTTATCCTCCTTGGCTTTCCCCCCTTCTCTCAAACTGTTCTTTTCTTCTTCTTCTGAATTTGAAATCAATGGATGACAGAAGCAACCGATACAATGCTGTGAAAATACTCCACACCAAAGATAATTTACCCTTAAATCCTCTCCAAGTGGAAAGAAAAACAGAGATAGGCACACAATTGATAAACTCTTATACTCTTACGCACACATAAAATTGAAATGCTAATAAAAAAAAGTACATAGTTGATCACGTTGTTATAACCTCTAGAAAAGTAGCATTTGAAAACTGTTGGCGCAATGCAATCCCGAGCTTCATCCAGATAATTTATAACATCATTCTCTCCAACACTTAAAAACAGAATACTTACATCAAAGCGTATGATAGATGAATCCATCTTGTCTCACTAAGAGAGCCAACAAATGACCACTACTGAAAATACCATATAGATTCACACAACTGATGAAATCAATCATTAAGTCACTCCTAAAATCTATAGTTATCCCTTTCAACCTTCCTCAAAATGAACATAACAACACAAAAAAAGACATTTGCCAATAACTTACCAAATTCCGACATTATCCATTAACCATTCAGATTGATCGAATGATATCCCATGTTTCAACTGCATCATTGATGAATAATGCTAAGAATGACACATCCAACTAAGTTAGTACCACTTAGAATCCTACTATAAAATTCAGTGCTTGTTATGTAATTCCATCCCTTGACCTTAGTGTTGAATATTGTGGCTCAAATTGAGGTTGGCAAGAGTAGAAATATATAAAAAGAAGAGAGAGGAGAGAATTGCGTAAAGGCTTGAATGATATGAATTACTCATTCACAGCTCTAGTATTTATAGATAAAATGAGCACATGCTCATATTACAAGAAAGAAAACTAAATCAAATCACAACTTATTCTAAAGCATATTCTATAGCATAGTCAAATCTCTACTATTATGGTAAGTCATACCATAAATCGTGGTATCATCTATACTAACACTCCCCCTAAAGTTGGTGCGTGGATATCTGAAACGCCCAACTTTGACAATGCATTCTCAAACACAATCTTGCTGACGTCCTTTATAAGAATGTCTGCAAGCTGCTGAGAGTTTGTGACAAATGGAGTGCAAATATGACCAAAGATGATCTTCTCTCGAATGAAGTGACGGTCCACCTCTATATGCTTAGTCCTGTCACGCTGAACGGGATTTGCTGCTATGCTAATGGCAGACTTGTTATCACAGTAGAGTGAGAATGGAAGCGACACTGGAAGGCACAAGTCTGTCATCAAAGTTTTCAGCCAAAGCAACTCACCTACTCCAAGAGCCATAGCCCTATACTCTGCCTCTGCACTAGATTGAGAGACAACATCCTACTTCTTACTATGCCAAGTAACCAAGTTACCACAAATAGTGATACAATAACGTGAAGTAAACCTCCTATCTGAAATTGATCCTGCATAATCAGCATTTGTCCAAGTCTCAACACGTAAGTGACCATGATTGGCAAACAAAATACCACGGCCTGGACACCCTTTTAAGTAGCGAAGGATCCAAATAACTGCATCAAGGTGAGGGGCCGAGGAGAGTGCATGAATTGACTCACGACACTCACGGGATAAGCAACGTCACGTCGAGTCATTGATAAATAGATGAGCCTCAGAGGTCATCGATACTGACCAATATCTGACAACTCCCACTCAGAATCAGCCAAACAATGATTCTGCTCAATCGGAGTATCAGCAAGACAAGCGCCAAGCTGACCAGAAGCAGAAAGCAAGTCAAGAACATACTTGCATTGAGAGATGAAAATGCCAGTCTTGGTTGGAGCGAGCCACCTCAATGCCCAAGAAGTACCGTAGGGGACCAAGATCCTTAATCTCAAACTGACGGCCAAGATAGCTCTTAACCTCATCAATTCCGGTATTATCATCACCGGTAAAAACAATATCATCGACATACATAATAAGAGCAACTGTTTTACCGCCTGAATGACGTAAAAACAAGGTATGATCAACTGCCCTTTGATGGAAACCAAACTTGAGCATAGCAATGCCAAAACGATCAAACCAAGCTCGAGGAGACTGCTTGAGGCCATACAGAGAACGACGAAGACGACATAGCATACCAGAATGAGTAAGAGAACGAAAGCCTGGAAGAGGAACCATGTACACCTCCTCCTGCAAATCACCATTGAGAAAAACATTCTTGACATCTAACTGGAATAGAGGCCAAGATCGAATTGCAGCAACGGAAAATAATACACGGATGGTATTCATCTTGGCAACAAGGGCAAAAATCTCCTGATAATCTATGTCATAAGTCTGAGCATAACCCTTGGCAACCAATCTTGCCTTTGCCACCAATGAACATCTTGACAGACTGTGCCCAAATCAAATAGTTGGAACCATCCAACTTTACTGTGGTAATTTGAAGTCCTGGATTTTCTGATGAGTGGTGGGAAAAATGGCACCACCACCTACAGAACTTAAGCCAAGAGAATTAACAGTCGAGGACTCTGAATCTGCCATAATCTGTCACACAACAATAAAAAAAACTCCAAAAACACCACAAATTCTGTTAATAAATCAAAGGGTCTCCTCAGACCATAAACAATAACAATGTCTCCTCAGACCATTCCCGAAAAATCCAAATACATACTTTTTTTAAGGAGCACTGCCCGCTTACATATAGCCAGACATCCTCCTTCTTAATATCCGGAACCTCTTTGTAGACTAATTTTTTTTTTACCCAAGCCCTTCTAGGTGTTGGAAACCAACTATCCCAATTTACCCAACCCTAAAAGAGTGAAAATGAAATTGTAAAACTTAAAAATACCTATTTTCGATCACAAAACAGCAACACAAAAAAACATGTGTAGGCAATGTCACAAACAGCCTAAGGTAGCTGTCGCACAAGTAGCAAGGCTGCTGAAAGGTGTGGAAAGGTGTTGGCTCTGATACTAAGTAGAAATATATAAAAAGAAGAGAAAGGAGAGAATTGCGTAAAGGCTTGAATAAATTGAATTACGCATTCACAGCTCTAGTATTTATAGATAAAATGAGCACATACTCATATTACAAGAAAAGAAACTAAATCAAATCAAAATCAAATCACAACTTATTCTAAAGCATATTCTACGGCATATTCTATAGCATAGTCAAATCTCTGCTATTATAGTAAGTCATACCATAAATCATGATATCATATATGCTAACATATGCATAGTCAAATCTCTGCTATTATGGTAAGTCATACCATAAATCGTGGTATCATATATGCTAACAGCAATTACATCAGCAACTTGTCCTTCAAGCATATGCGATCAACAAGTATATTCAAAACTTTCTTTGGAAGCTTTACCATTTGTTAGAATGAGCTTGTTGTGCACACCAATATACTTGCTAATCACACATACTTGAAGGACAAATTGCTGATGTAATTGCCAACCTCAATTTGAGCCACAATATTTAACAACTCTCCACCTTGACGAAAATTCAAATGAGACACTGTATCTCTGCAAAACAAACTGTCTTCTCCACAAAACAAATTAATCAAAGAATTTTAGTTAAGTTTGAATCATCCTCAAACTTAACCCTCGGGCTCTCGTTCTTCAACCCATGCATGTCTTGCGCAGCCACAAGCATACCTCTAGTATTTTTTTCAAACTCTAAGCGCTTATCAAAAACATCCTCAGAAACTCTAAATTTGACATCTCCTTCAGCAACCTTCTCCAACCGCCCACTAACCATCGATTGGTAATGAAAAATCATCTTCTCACCCTTATGGAGAATAGGACGTCATTGACTTTTCCTCGCATCTCTATTGTGACCAACTACTTGCCTCTCACACATCTTAATGGCACTCAAATGGACAATCTCATTGCCACCAAAATTATTGCTAGTCAATATCACACCTGTCCTCACGGGTCTGCCTCCCTGTAAGGACTGCTGTAATTTCGGTTGCCATCTGAAAACGGATTTTATTCTCCTACCATGTTGTGTAGTCCCCTCACAACCCTTTTGAGAACTAAGAACGTAACTCCTTTTTCTAACTCTTCTTTTGCCAAGATCCGAACACAGATTTTTGCTAACTGTTGAAGACCATATAGAAGCTCCACCTGTTACTATATTCTCTTGGAGAAGATACAAATTTTTCACCTTAGTGCTTTGTAGCACCACAAGAGAATCCATCACGACCATCATTGCTCTACCCTCTATTACAACCTTATAACCTTTGGAGTCTAGCACACCTACTGAAATAATATTCATTTTCAGATCCGGTACAAGTCGCACATCTGACAATGTTCTCACCAACCCATTGTGCGTCTTGATCTTGGCTGTTCCAATTCCTAAAATTTTGAAAGTTTTTCTGTCCGCCGTCAAAATCGAACCACCTTTCACCTCTTTATAGGGAAAAAAAGAATCCCTACTTGGATACATATGAACGGAACAACCAGAATCAAGAATCCAACTGTCATTAAATGACATACCTGAACACAAGATTGTCATGAGAACATAATCGTCACTTTCCGAATCACTCGTTGTAGCAGTTACCACAGTCGCTGATTCTTGAACCTTCTCTTTGCCATTCCCATTCTTTGCATTTAGTTTGGGACAATGCTTGATGATGTGCCCTATCTCGTGACAGTAGTAACATTCCACATTTTTATGAGATCTAGGTTTGCCCCTACTACCAGAACTCTTTGTCTCACTTTTGTCTCTTACAAATAGACCATCGGCCTGTTCATCTCCAATATTCCCAGACACCTTTTCCTCAATTCCTGAGAGTTCAATATAGATTTTACATCCTCCATACTGTTGGCGTCTTTTCCATAAAGCAATGTGGTAACAAAATGCTCATAGGAAGGAGGCAAAGAATACAACAAAATAAGGGCTTGATCTTCTTCATCAATTTTAATATCAGTATTTTTCAAATCCCTAATAATAGAATTAAAATTATCAACATGTACCTTAAGAGGCATATCTTCCTCGAAGGGTGTAAAGTCTCTCTTTCAAGTAAAGTCTGTTGATGAGAGATTTCGTCATATATAGACTCTCCAATTTTAGCCACAACTTTACTGCCGTGTCTTCATCAATAACTTCACGAAGCACCTCATCGGCTAGATTCAGGAGGATCGCACTACACGCCTTTTCATCGACCTCCTCCTTGTCTTCACTGGACATAGTTTCTAGCAACTTGTCCTTCCCAAACAACACCTTCTTTAGATCTTACTGAGTCAGCAGGGCCTGCATCTTAATGCGTCAAAGACTGAAACTAATCTTGCCATCAAATTTCTCAATCTCGTATCTGGTCGACATCTCAAAAAACTCCCAAAAAATATATTTCTGGTGAATAGTATTGTATTTGTGAACAACACCCGAATAGTATCTGTGAACAGTTTCGTACACGTGAACAGTATCTGTACACAACTTGTCCTTCAAATATGTGTGATCAGCAAGTATATTGGTGTGCACAGCAAGCTCCTTCTGACAGATGGTGAAGCTTCCAAAGGAAGTTTTGAATATATTTGGACACCAAGTATTTTTTGGGCTGTATATAGCCTTGCACACCTTTGATCCAAGGCATCCGAAATCATCAATTGTATTGTGAATTTGTAATATCAGTTAGTGAGTAAGAGAATTTGGATGCAAATTGGGCTTTGGGTGTGAGTCACTTTGCCTTGTATATCTTTATTTCCATAGTGAAATATTATTTTGTCTTCTCCCCGTGGATGTAGGCATAGCCGAACCACGTATATCCTTGTCTCATTTGTGTGTGCGCCATTTTATTTTCTTGTCATTAATTTTCTCTTTGTTCTCATAAACTCCTATTCGATCCTTATTTCATAACACTTAGCTTATGAGAAAGTAAGAAGACCCTAGCTTCCACACATACCATCAAGTACCTTAATACTATCCTTCTCTCACTATTTGTGTTTCTTTAAAATACACAAATGCAAGAGTGTGCACAAACACACCTTTGCTTGTCCTAAAGGAAATATTCACAAATGTAATATAGACACACATAACACACACATATATTCACATAATTATAAGCAAATGCCAAATCACTGAGTTTGCACGTAAGATATTATGTGTCCATGTTGAAGCACAACTTTGTTCCCATGTCCACAGATCATCATAGGATTCCTCTGATCTTAACATATCAGTTGTTGGTACTGAAAAACTGAAGCCTATGCTTTCCACATAAATTCATTAAAAAAAGATGCAGATTGTAGCAAACTAACGAGACAAGACTCAAATTATCTTTTTTAAAACCGTCCATTTCCTGGTCAAATTAGCTTGTCAAAATGAAAAGGACCCAACACTACTAGTTGAGCAATGAAATGTTTCATATCCACTAATACATCATACCATTTTGGCAGAAAATTTTCCACACAGTTAACGGGTAAAAGTTACAAGATTCCAACATGAACCCAATTGCAGTGACACCACAGGTCCACAACTACTTGAAGATACAACGACGCAATAGAAGCACATTGGTTGAAGAGTATTTTCCAAATGTACATAAATGCATTCATCTGCGTATAAATATAAAATGTTGATAAATCTCTTCGTGGTTAGATTTTCCATTTAATCAAATAAATTTATACCCACATTGAGCAGGCAGATCAGAGCAAATAAGAAAAAAGGCTAGCTCAAACAGACAAAATAAACCCTAAAACACGATAAACACATGAACCATCAGAGTAAATCCAAATAGATTCAGAATTCCTCAAACCAAAATACCCAGAACAGGAAATAATCACCAAAATTCAAGAAAAAAAGAAACTGAAGAATCAAAGCACCCTTGAAGGAAAAGGTAAAAGCAAACAGATTGATGGAAGAGAGAGAAAATACCTCGAAAAGATCTCCCAATTAGAACCCCATATGAAGAGAAAACACAAACAAGCGCTCTAAGAAGGCTTGTTCTGACTATTGCGGTATATTCTGGAGAGACATGGAGTATAAAAACAAACAGACAGGCCCGGTCTGCTGCGGTGGGAAGAATTTCAAATTAAAGGCCGTTTAAGAGACAGAAAAGTAGAGAGAGAGACAAGAGAGGAGGAGGGAATCAGGAGCGTAGGTAGGGCAGAGCATTCTCGAGAAATAAAAACAAGAAAGGTTAAGATTGTGGGACCCAAATCTCTCTCCTCAGGTTTGTCTCGTTAAGAAGTACTAGTAATAATCTTTTCGAATATCGATGCAATCAAAACCCCGTATGGTGAGGACAGGAATTTGAATGAGCTTGCAGTGTGTCTGTGTGAGAGAGAGAAATTGCGTAGAAAGCTTGCAGTGAGAGAGAAGACAGTGGACTGAAATTACTGTGTGGGGACTGTGGAGTTGTTCGTCATGGTTTCAGCGACTTAGGAAGCTTTTTCGTCTCAAAAAAGTTTAAAGCTTAAATAGAGTTCTGTTCCTCCTTGTAATTTCAAACTGAAGTGAGACGAAACCCTTTTTCACAACGATCTGCATTGGAATACCCGACACAAACATGTTTAAAAAAAAAAATTTATTTTTTTATTTTTTGGGATACACATACACTCAGTTTCAGGCTCTTTTCGATGACAAGTATTTTTCAGTCAGAGCAGTCAAGAATAAATAGTTCCTTAATTTACAACAGGGATCAGATACCCACAGGGTATGAATAACAATTTACTGCTTATCTTCATTTGTTCTAGAGGAGTTGTCTGTGTCTAGTTTGTTACGGTTTTGTGGAGTCTCGTTAATTTTTAGGAATGTTTAATTATATAAAAAACTTCAACACTGCTTAATTTTAAAAAAAATTTAATTTCTTGATATGATTTAACATTCTTATTGATTTAAGAAAAATTTAGTTCCTGATCTGATTTAACTTCCTTATTGGTTTTAGATTTTACAAAAGTCAAGTTCTTGTAAAACAAGTTTAAAATTCTATAAATATCAACTCTAATCAGATTTGAGAGGGTGTGAGAGTTAGAAATAAATTTGTGTCAATACAAGAAGAGAGAGATTGAGAAACAATTTTTCATAGTGAATTTGTTCGATGTGCTCCATGGACGAAACTCCACAATTTGGGTGAACCATGTATATCTTGTATTCTTATGTGTGATTTTTTTATTTTTCGTGATTGCTTGTTTAACCATTGAACAACATTATTTATTTTGCGTTTTCGCCACAACAACTGGTATCAAATTCGATTTATTATGCAGAGCAACTCCAACAACTGGTATTTGAGCCTTTGGTTGAGAACCTAGGGCACAGAAGGTGTTTGACAAAATTCCGAAAGTCTTTCGATCAGATCTGTCCATTCGAGTGGGAGTAATGGCATCAGAAGATAAGACATCCACATCCATGATCGAGAAGTTCGATGGCACAAATTTCGATTTCTGGAAAGTGCAAATAGAAGACCTCTTGTTTCAGAAAATTTTGTATCAACCTTTAAGAGAGAAGCCAGAGGATACAAAGGATGCAGATTGGGAATTACTTGATAGGAAGGCTCTTGGCACCGTCAGATTGACGTTATCAAAGTCAGTTGCCTTCAATATCAAGAACGAGAAGACGACGAAGTCTCTCATGGCAGCCCTTTCTAATATGTATGAACAGCCTTCTGCAGCGAATAAGGTGCACTTGATCAAGAAATTGTTCAACATGAAGATGGTCGAAGGTTGTAAGTTCAATGAACATTTAAATGCGTTCAATGAGATAATTGGGCAATTAGAGTCTGTTGATATCGACTTCAAAAACGAGGCCCGAGCACTGCTAATTCTAGGACAGTTACCCGAGAGTTGGAATGGCACAATTATAGCGATCAATAGCTCTATAGGGAAGACCAAGTTGAAGTTTGATGAAGTGGTAAACATGATTCTGACTGAAGAAATCAGAAGGCAAACAACAAGGATTTCTACCAGTGGTTCGGCATTAAAAGTTGAAAGCATAGGCAGGAGTTCAAATAAGAAGAATGGTAACGGTAATAGAAATAAAAGCAGATCCAAGTCAAGGAATAGAAGAACATAGTCTCAAAATTTCAAGAATTCCACAGATCTCGGTGAAATTGAGTGTTAGAATTGTGGAAAAAAGGGACATTATCGTATTGATTGCAGAACTCCAAAGAAGGGAACCGAAAGAAAAACTGAAGCAAATTTTCTCTCATAAGAATCAGATGATGCATTGATATGCTCTTTGGAGAGCAAGGCGGAGTCATGGGTTTTAGATTCCGGCGCATCGTTTCATGGCACCTCAAGCAAAGAGTTATTTAATAACTATGAACCGAGTAACCTTGGTAAGTGTATCTTGGTGATGATCAGCCTTGCAACGTAGTTGGCAAAGGCGAAGTGCAAATCAAGTTGAATGGGTCAGCTTGGAAATTAAAGGATGTGAGACACATCCCTGACTTGAGGAAGAATCTTATTTCGGTGGGATAATTGTCAGATGAAGGTTTTGTTACAACCTTCAATGGAGACTCGTGGAAAGTTTCCAGAAGTGCTATGACCATTGCACGTGGTAAGAAATCTGGCACTCTCTACACAACTACCAGTGCTTGTAGGTCTATAGCAGTTGCAGAAAATAGAGAAGATCACAACCTTTGGCACCAGATACTAGGTCACATGAGTGAAAGGGGTGACAGTGGCCGTCCCTATACGCTAAACTAATATAGTAAATGTAGGTTCAAGAAAAGCCTTTTGGGTCAAGTTTAAATTTATAAAAACCACTACTACCACTACTACTAACGTAGCAAGGGTGAATAGGGATCGTCCCAAGGGATTAGAGGGTTACTAGTAATGGAAACAATGCTTAGGGTTAATAGGTCGAGTGATCAAAGGTAGATTGATTGGTTAATTAAACTACAATTAAGTTTAAACAAACTCAATATAAAACAAGTAATTAAATGATAGAGAAAACAAGAGAGAGAGGTCTTGGGATTTAGAGATCACCACTAAGCATCACCTTTCTATACACTTAATTCATAATTAATGAGGGGGGAAACATATGTTGCAACAATAGTGAGTGTGTGTGGTTGTTTCAACAAGCATGAATAACCAATTAAGTATATATTGTTTAAACAACACAATAAATAGCACAATATATCAAACTAAGTCATTAATCCTTCTTTAAGCTCACAATCCAAACACATCGCATAACTAGAGAAATATACTACTTGCATTCATAAGTATGAAACATCAAACAACAAGTATGGATTATCCTCCCATTTAACAACTAAGGTAACTCCACTACATCTAAGCTAATGACATGAAAATTAAACTAATTAAACTAAGGGAGAGGCACAATCTATCAAGTAATGAGTATGAACCATTAAATAAACCACAAGAGCATTCTATTAAGCATTATGTCTTGACAATCTCTAAATCTACAGCAACAACACACATAGACATGCATCAATAACACAAGAAATAAAGATAAACACATGAACATCTATTATAGCATACATAAACTTATGGATAGAATGAAATAATCAATTGGAATAATTAAACCACACAAATCATTGAATGAACAAGATCTATGTATATAAAGATGTCAAAACATGTATTACAACACATATCCCCTCAAAAATACATAAATCAAGGTAAATATAGCATGCTTAGGGCTAACTCTAGCCCCAAGAGGATGTCTAGCCACTCATGGATGGTGTCCTCCAACCCTCAAGGGCTATCTCATACTCTTCTTCTTGAAGTAGATGGAAGATCTCCCAAGAATGTGTCTCTAGCCTCCTCTTCTCTTTTTCTTCCTCTCTAAGACAATCTCTAATGTTGTATATTGTGTCTCCAAGAACTCTTGTGTGTCTCTCATAAAAGTGGCTCAAAATCCTTATATAGGTAGCTCAAATGTCACACCCAATGGTCTAGGCTCGTACACAAGGGCTCCTCCAATAATTGCACCATGAGACAACTTTTAATGAGCTGGAAATTAATTTAATTTGCACTTGAGAGGGTTCGATCGATCGAACCTACGCTGAGATCGATCGAACTTGACTGAGATCTATCAAACTTTTGCTGGATCGATCCTCCCATGGCGGCGCCTTTTTGGATAAGAACAGATCTGAGATATTTTAGGGTAAGAGACAAAAGTGGTAAGTGGGGTGGTACAACAAGATAAGGTGGAATCTTTTCGATCGATTTGAGAATCGTTGGATCGATCGAACTTTGTGGGATCTTTGGATAAGGATAAAAGAACTTGAATCCATCTTGAAATGTCTAGATCGATGAACTTTGAATCGATAGAAGTATTCTTGAGATTGATCGAACATGCTGAATTCCACACTTTGCTTCAATCTGCTTCCACTTTGCTCATTTCTTCCATCTAGCTTGAGTTAGCTTCTTTTAAGCTCTTATTTGACTGAATTAGCTTATTTTGGGGATAAGCACCTAAAAATGACAATAACATGAAATTAGTCTAAAACGAGAAAGTAAGATAGATAAAGGTCCTGGAATACCTAAGCTTAAGGGGTTTAAATGCGCACTTTTCAACGCTCATCAAAGGGGCTCAAGATTATGCACTTAAAGGGGAAACTACTAGGCATACGGGTAATTGATATTGACTTCTGCGAGAGTTGCGTGATGGGCAAGCAGAAGAAGGTCAGTTTCAAGAAGAGTGGCAGAGATCTCAGAAAGGAGAAACTCGAGCTAGTTCACACAGACGTTTGGGGCCAGCCACTATCTCATCCATTGGTGGAAAATCTTACTTCATGACTTTCATTGATGATCACACGAGGAAGGTATGGGTTTATTTTTTGAAGCACAAATCTGAGGTATTTGATGTGTTCAAGAAGTGAAAGGCCATGATGGAGAATGAGACAGGTTTAAAGATCAAAAGGTTAAGGTCTGACAATGGCGGTGAGTATGAAGACACTGGGTTCAAGAAGTTCTGTTTTGATAATGGGATCAGATTAGAGAGGACTGTGCAAGGAACCCCGCAGCAGAATGGGGTGGCAGAACGGATGAACCGAACATTGACAGAGAGAGCAAGAAGCATGTGCATACATTAGGGTTTACCCAAACAGTTTTGGGCAGAAACTTTCAATATAATATCCTACCTAATTAATCGTGGACCATCGATGCCTTTGGAGTATCGGATACCAGAAGAGGTATGGAGTGACAAAAAGGTAAATCTTTCATGGTTGAAAGTTTTTGGTTGTATTGCATATGCGCATATTAGTGACCATGCTAGGGGGAAGCTTGATCCCAAGTCACTAAAATGCATCTTCGTTGGGTATGGCGGAAATGAGTTTGGTTATCGACTCTGGTATAATCAGAACAAGAAAATCATCAGAAGTAGAGATGTGATTTTCAACGAAAATATGATGTACAAAGATAAAGATGTAGCACAGTTAATTAGTCTTGTACAGAGTAAGCCTGAGTTTGTTGAGTTGGATGATGATCCAAAGAGTATTGATGCGGAGCATAAAGATGATGGTTTTTAGCCAGAACTCACAGAGCATAGTTCACTGCAGATTCCAACTCCTATGCTTGCACCCAAAAGGTCTACGTGACCTCATGTACCGAATAGGAAATATTTGGATTATATGTTGCTCATAGATGATAGTAAGCCTGAATGCTATGATGAAGCATGTCAGGTTGAAAATGCCAGCAAGTGGGAGCTTACAATAGAAGATGAGATGAAGTCCCTTATCTCCAACAAAACATGGGCACTAACCAAGTTGCCCATGGGGAAGAAAACTCTTCACAACAAATGGGTGTACATGGTGAAAGAGGAATATAATGGTTCTAAGAGAGACAAGGCGAGAATGGTGGTCAAAGGCTTTTAGCAAAAGTAAGGCATTGACTATATAGACATTTTTTCCCCGGTTGTGAAACTAAGTACCATTCGCTCAATTCTTAGCATTGTTGCAGCAAAAAGGCTACACCTCAAGCAATTAAATGTCAAAACTACTCTCCTCCATGGTGACCTTGAGGAGGAGATTTACATACAACAACCGGGGGGTTTCTCAGTCAAAGGGAAAGAGAAACTAGTGTGTAAGTTGAAAAAAAGCTTATATGGTTTGAAGCAAGCCCCGAGGCAGTGGTATAAGAAGTTTAATGGTTTTATGAAGCGACATGGCTACAACAAGTGCAATGCTGACCATTACTACTACTTCAAGAGGTTTAAGTCAAGTTTCATTATCCTTCTATTTTATGTTGATGACATGTTAGTGGTAGGTTCTGATTTTGAAAAAATCAGCAAATTGAAGAAACAATTGTCTAGTGAATTCGAGATGAAGGATCTTGGTGTAGTGAAGCAGATTCTTGGGATGAGGATTAGCAGAGATAAACAGAAAGTTACTTTGCAGTTGTCTCAGGTTAAGTATGTTGAACGGGTTCTGAAGAAGTTCAACATAAATAATGCTAAGGCGGTGAGTACTCCCTTAGCTAATCACTTCCGATTATCTCAAGATCAGTATTCGAAGACAGAAGATGAGAAAAACTTCATGGCTAAAATTCCATATGCCTCAGCCATTGGAAGTTTGATGTATGCCATGGTGAGCACAAGACTGGACATTGCATATGCAGTGGAAGCAGTAAACAGGTTCATGAAGGATCTGAGCAAGCTACACTGGGAAGCAGTAAAGTAGATATTGAGATATCTATGGGGTACCACAGACAAATGCCTATGTTTCAGAAGGGTGAGGTGAAGCTACATGGTTATGTAGATTCAGACTTTCCTAGTGAGATGGACCACAGAAGAAGTACTACCAGGTATGTGTTCATGGTAAGTACAACTGCAGTTAGTTGGGTTTCGCAAATACAGAGGATTGTAGCGTTATCTACTACAGAAGCATAGTATGTGGCAATGACAGAGGCCAGCAAGGAGATGATTTGGTTACAAGGTTTGTTGACAGAGTTGGGATTCGAACAGGTGAATAATGTTTTGCACAGTGATAGTCAGAGGGCGATACATCTGGCAAAGAATTCAGCATTTCATTCAAGGACCAAGCATATAGGACTTCGGTATCACTTTATCATATCTTTATTTAAAGATGGGGTGTTAACCCTTGAGAAAATACTTGGCACCAAGAATCCGACTGATATGTTGACCAAGACAGTGACCATGGAGAAACTGAAGTTATGCGTAACTTCAATCGGTCTTTTAGCTTGAAGACAGAGAGAAGCGCACCGACATGTATAGGACATGCATAAGAAGAAGATGGAATGAGTTTACAAGTGCTCCAGCCTCCAAGTGGGAGATTGTTGTGGTTTTGTGGAGTTTGATTAATTTTTAGGAATGTTTAATTATATGGAAAATCCAACACTGTTGAATTTTAGGGAAAATTCAGTTTCCTTATTTAATTTAACTTCCTTATTGGTTTAAAGAAAATTCAGTTTCCTGATCTGATTTAACTTCCTTATTGGTTTTGAATTCTACAAAATGCAAGTTCTTATAAGACAAGTTTGAGACTCTATAAATAGAGACTCTAATTAGATTTTTAGAGAGTGTGAGAGTTAGAGATAAATTTGTGCCAATACAAGAGAGAGTAATTGAAAGATATTGAGAGAGAATTTTCCATTGTAATTCTTCATCTTTTTCATAATGAATTTGTTCGGTATGCTCCATAGACGTAATCTTAAGATTTGGGTGAACCATGTATATCTTGTGTTCTTATGTGTGATTTTTTTATTCTTCATGATTGCTTATTTATTTCTTGAACAACGTTATTTATTTTGCGTTTTCGTCACAACAACTGGTATCAAATCCGGTTTATTATGCAAAGCAACTCCAACACGGTTGATCTGGCCCATTAAGCACCCATTAAGGAGGTTATCATGAGTAATCTAGCCTATACCACTTATTCTTAGGTGGTTGACATAACATTACAGCATTACCAAATGAGGAGAGAGTACAAACAGTCTAGTGGTGAGAAGCGGGGTGCAAATTAGTGCAATTTATAATTTTTTTTTGTAAATTATCCATTCCCTTCATTTTAACATTGCCTTTGTCCATCTCCTTCAATTTAAAACTAGCGTCTTATTTAGGAATTCAAATTTAAAAGGTGCATGAATTTAATGCATAATTTTCTATGAAACTTTAAAGACTAGTCATTTGAAATTTAACATTGGCGTAGAAGTTTTGAAAATAAGGTCACTTTACAAACCCTCGCTATTCTAAGAGGCGAATGAGATACCACTAGGCCAAAATGCTCTTAGTTATTGACTTTTCAAATACAACATTTATTTCTAAAATGCCCCGCATTACTTCCTTATTTAATTAAATAAATTTTTTGAAAAAAAAAAAAATTGAAAATTCAGATAAAATTAAAACAAAGAATTAATGTATTTAATTAATTTTTATTTGCCAACTCAGGATTAGAAACCTCTCTGATTTGAGAAAAAAAATATATAAGTAGAATTAAAAGCTTTATTGCATGTCACCATGTAAAAAAAAAGCCATGTGTCCATAAAATATAGGTAGCACTAATTCATGAATCTTTTCTCACATTTATTACATGAACCGAAGAAAATGCCAAAACCAAACACATTAAATTACATTATCTAATGAGGTGTAAAAGTAAAGCTGGTGAAGATATGCTTATTTGTGTGTTCATTGTTTTGTATTATATTAACTAAAACCATAACTTCACAAGAAACAATGCCAATTGGCGTTACTTACAACATAAATGTTGTGACTTGCAATGACTTTTGGTGGTATAAGTAGGTGACCAAAGCATTGGAACGACAAAACTTCCTTCATATTGCTTATAAAAAAATTCTTGAGAGGAAGAGCTCAGGAGAGTCCGACAATGGCCACCCTCATTGCTCCTGATCATCCTTCTCCTGTTGCAGATGCAGAAGTTCTCAGAAAAGCTTGTCAAGGTTGCTTATTTATCTATCTATATATATATATATATATATAATATTATTGTTATTTTACAGTTCTGACTAAAAAAGGGTGGTTATTTTTTTTGTTTTTAAAAAAAAATTTAGATTGAACTTCTCTTGTAAATTTATGATAGATATGTGTGTGGGATGGTTTTGATTCTTGAATAATAAAGTGCATATACATGCCTTTGATATAATTTGTATAAGCTTATAGTACCATATGTGTGTTTCAGATTGTCTTGATTCATGAATAATCAAACGCACATGTTGATTTTATATCTTTCTGTATTCTGCAATGACTGCAAGTGTGACCGTAGTTTAAGATTGGGTTTTTTATAAATTTGATAGTTATATGTGTATATAAAATGGTCTTGATTCATGAATTGCAAAACGCCCAAGTTTGATTCAGTTATATACTTCAATCTTTGCACATTTGGCCTCTATATGGCCATAATTCTAATGGCATATATCATATATAAATGTTTTGTCCATTTTCTTCTCTTTTCCCTCCACTTTCTTGGTCACCAAACAGTTCTTAGATTTGATTTGTGGTTCATGTTTCAGATTATGTTGATTTCATGGTTCCTTTTGTTTTACTTATCTTTCATTTTCCATTTTTGTTTGGGTTTTGTGAAGAATAGATCAAGTTGAACAAGGATATGTTAATTGGAATTGGTGGAATTGAAGAAAATTTTGGTTCAATTTTATGTCACTTTGAACCAAAATTTTCTCCAATTCCCAAGGTGTGTTCGGCTGCATGAAATTGTAGCTTTGGAATTAGAATTCGTGAAATTTGAGAATATTTTAATTCAATTTTCTTAATTTTTTTTCTAAAATTCTACAAATTCCAATTATAAGGCCCCAATTTCATGCAACCGAACACACTCCCATTTCTAATTCAAGGACCCCAGTTCTTTGCAACCAAACATAGCATGTATTCAATGAGATTTTGGACTCACTATCCGGATCATAATTCCTTCTTTTCCAATGAAATTTTGCTAGGATGGGGAACTGATGAGAAGGCTATAATCTCAATCATGGGTCATAGAAATGCAGTTCAAAGGAAGTTAATCCGGGAAGCCTACGAGGAGCTTTATCAAGAAGATCTCCTCAAGCGCCTTGAATCAGAGCTCTCGGGTGATTTTGAGGTTACTATTTCTACCATTTTCCTTCCAAACTTCAAACTTTTTTTAACTTTCAAATTTCGTAAAATACAAAACCATTGATTTGGGCATTGCTTGATCTTAACTGCACATGATATGGAACAAGAAATCTAAAAGAAGCTCTTATAAAGAAACAAATTGTACAGTTGTGTGTGACTTTCATGCCCCTAATATTGAGTGTTAGTCGCCTAACTCGCGATCCTCAATAGATTGATGATGCAGGACCATCACTAGAGGATGGCATAGGTTTCACCATTCTTTAATTAAATTTGTTTGTTTCTTCCACTTTGTTTTTTCCATCCCATATATGTATATATATATATATATATATATATAATTTCATTGTTCAAGATAGCTTTGGACCACTATGTTCTCCTGTCTTGACATAACAGAGTGAATCTAGGGACCGACCTTAAAGATTTGATCATCTCAAGTTTTTACTCCCTTAATTGCATCTGGTGTGCTAAAAGTGGTGCACATAGAGGTTTTGATTCAAGACGTACTTATTATCTCTAAATGGTCCAAAGTACTCCAAATACAATTATTATTATTATTATATATGTATACATTTGTTACACTGAAACATGTGTACTATGTGTGAATATAGAAAGCAGTGTATCGTTGGATACTGGATCCAGTAGATCGAGATTCTGTCTTGGTGAATGTAGCAATAAAGCAATCTGATTATCTTGCGATCATTGAAATCTCATGCATCCGATCTCCTGAAGAGCTCCTAGCTGTGAAGCGCGCCTACCAGAGTCGTTACAAGCATTCCTTGGAAGAGGACTTGGCTGCTCATACCACCGGTGATCTGCGAAAGGCATGTAGTTGAACTGTATTATATATATCCATGTTTTTCGTATGGTTTCTGAAATCACTAAAGCTCATGTTTTCTGTTTCAGCTCTTGGTTGCCTTGATGAGCATATATAGGTACAATGGTGATGAGATAAACGCAAGATTGGCAAGTTCGGAGGCTGACATTCTTCACAAATTTATTGAAGAGAAGGCTTTTAATGACGAAGAAATCATTAGAATTGTGACTACAAGGAGCAAGGCACAGGTCATGGCAACTTTGAACCGCTACAAAGATGAGCATGGCACTTCCGTCACCAAGGTGAAGATAAAAGAGCCAAAATATTTAATACAATTTTCCTTAAAAGCTCTAGTTTGATATATATATATAGTCACTTCAAGTAATCGGCCTAAATATCATTTTACGGCCAATATTGCTAAGATGTGTTTACATCACTTGCTACTAAAATTTTGAACTTATTTCTTCATTCATGTAGTCAGTTGAACAAAAACATTTATATATATATATATATATATATATATATCAAACTAGAGCTTTTAAGGAAAATTGTATTAAATATATATATATATTCACTTCAAGTGAATTGCCCGATTTACAAGTTTTGATTAGTCATGCAAGTAAAAGATAAGGAAGTGTGGTCCTTTACTTTCTTATATTTGGTAAATATATATGACCAATGAAAGCTTGTAGGTCAAATAATTCACTTTGAGAGTTTGGCCCAAATATCACTACTCTATTTTTTATAATCCAAACCAGAGCTTAAGTATTTGATCTTCTTTGGTCAGAATTTGATGGACGATTCAGCTAGTCAGTACTTAGCAGCATTGCGCACAGCCATCCGATGCATCAATGACCCACAGAAGTACTATGAAAAGGTGTAAATCCGGATAATTATAATGCTTCTTCCAAGTTTCAGCACTAATACCTACCTTTATGGAATTGGAATCCTTATTTGATCTTGTTTGCTTTAGGTATTGCGCAATGCGATTAATAAGCCCGGGACTGACGAAGATGCACTGACTCGTGTGATCGTTACAACAGCTGAAAAAGATTTGAAGGAGATCAAGGAGCTTTATTACAAGAGAAACAGTGTGTCCCTCGATCATTCAGTCACGAAGGAAACATCGGGGGATTACAAGGCCTTCCTGCTTACTCTGCTAGGGAAGGAAGATTGATTCGGAACCTCGTCAGTGAGCATTTCATCTTTTAAATGGTTGTCTGTTTTTAGTTGTACTTTGGTTTTGGAAAAACTTATCTGTAGCTTGTCTTGAACTTTTGTGTGGTTATGACATTTTCAATTTATCGGCTTGTTTTTCGAATTCTTTTTGTGGATTGGATTGATTATTTACTAGCTGAAGCAGAAATATAATTAATATTGGTGAAGAGTGATGAAGGTTCAATGCATCTTAAATGCTACAGTTCTGTGCTATGAACATCAGTTACAGGAAGGTCTAGTTGATTTCATGAATTCAAATAAATTTCCAAAATATCTTATGTTATGTTTGGGAGCACTGAATCGGTGGCTTAGATTTGGGATTGAACTAAATTTCCTCTAATCCCAAATTTAAAGCACCGATTTGGTGCGTCCAAATGCAGCAGTGGTTGTTTTGCAATATTGTTTTTCATTTTCAGATGCGGGAGGTTGCACATTCCTATAGCTTTGCACTGTTAGGGCAATCTCTTCTCAATCCTTTTTGACTAATTCTATTGTTGCTTTTCTTTATTTCTTTGTTTTTCTTCTTCTTTGTGTGTGTGTTGACCATATAACATTACTATAATTAAGTCATTGCAACATATATTTGCAGCCATTTACTGCAAATTGGGTCAGCTATTTTCTTAGAAATGTTAAAAATCTCCATGGCTTATGATCCTACTCAGATTGAATTTGTAGTGAATTTAATGTTTGATACTCCACTAAAAATAGAACATGGTTTGGAAAGTCCACCTTTTTTTTATACAGGAGATTGAGTGAAAAACGACCAAAGAGTAATGATAGGAAGTCCCTCTAACATATCCAACAGTCCGATTAAATTTGTATGAGTAGAGGATGACGTCGTAATGACATCATCATATTTAATTTCGTGATAATGATGTTATCTCCCATTCACATATATTAGTGAAATATATTCCAAAGTTGACTTATTATTATTCAAGACCAAAATACTATTCCTCATCAAAGAAAAGTTTTTTTTCCACTCAAGTAGCCGAAACCAATAGTCTTCCAATTTTGAATTGAGCAGAGCATACAAACTTTTTAATGGTTTTTTTTTTTTTTTTCCAGATAATGATGGTGTCGAATCTTTTAGAACACCCTATAATCCACTACTGACGGGAGATTTGAACTTCCATAGCCAGGGTTGTTAACTTTTTAATGATAATAGTTTCAAGAATTTGAGGGTTAACAAACTGGCCATAAATTGGACTTACGAGATGTTAACAGAAGTAGAAATTTTAATTTATTAGTGTTCATTTCTATGGTAATAAAATACTCATACAAGCTCGAATTTAGAGTTGAGCTTTTCTTCGGTTTTAAACCTTTGACAGGCTTTAAAGCTAAGTTTTTATATTTTTAGAGATTGAAAAAAAAAATCAATTCAAAGGTATGAAATAATCTTACAAGGTCAGTAAATTTTAGCTTGTCAACATGTTTTCTCTCTTCTATAACAGAAATAAAAATCACTGATTCATTATCTTCCAATTCTGAGATTTTGTAAGCATCTGAAATTCTGAGATTTTGAGTCTTTTTTCCTTCTTGAGTTGTCTGAAAAATATTGCTAGCTTCGTTCTGCAATATTTGAAGAACAATATAATCTCTTTCCAATAGCAGCTCTAAAATTTGGGTCTCTAGATTTACCAGGTCAGCATTTTCAGGAGCTATTTCCAAAAGCCAGTTTTGGACTCTCCAATTTTTAGTTATGGTAGGTGTTCTCATGGTGCGTAAGCTCTCCAAAGGTATAATATTTTTAATTTTTAATTTTTTTTAACTTTTTCCTAATTTCTCATTTGATTTATTTATTTGTAGAGGTGAACTGAAAACAAAGGCATATTTAAAAATATATATTCATTATTTAAAATAATTTTCATTTTCTTAGGGAAGAACAAAAAATTTAAAAAATATATTTTTTGGGCCAATATAGCAACATTGAAAACTTAAAAAAAAAAAAAAAAAAAAAAAAAAAAAAAAATCTCACTTTTCTCCTCTCTTTTTTTCCCAAAAAAGCCTACAACGCACCGTTTGTGTTAGCCAAACAGTACTTTAATGGCTCTTTGGTTCAATTGTGTTGAGGGGATTAAAAAAAAAGGACAAAAAAACCCCAAAAAACTTGTTTCTGGAATTTTTTTCCCAGCCAACATGTCCTTAAACTTTTTCCGGGCTACAGTGGTTTTAGACCACAAAATTTTTAAAAAAAACAAGCGGGCCAACGCATGGAAAGCCCGCAATCGCCATGTGGGTGGCCATTTTTGGCGACCCATTCCCTGAGCCTAAAATTATGGCCCACAAGTGGCGAACCACAATGGAGTAATTGGGTCTTCAATTATTGGCCCAAATCCCCGAAATATAAGGCGCTCGAGAAGTTAAAGGAATTAACTTTTTTTTTTTTTTTTTGTTTTTTGGCGCCCTTTCCTATTCTTAATTTTTCTCTAGATCTCTGTTGTTTCAGTTGTTATTATTATTATCATTATCATTATTGAATTTAGGAAAAAAAAATCTAAAATTTTCTTACTTTTTTATTTTTATTAATTTTTTTCTCACTTGATATAATGTCTTACATGAGTTTCCTTAACAGAAAGTCCGACCTGACACTCAAATATCTGTTTAGTGCCCAAAAACTAAAGTTATTTAGGGCATCCAGTGTCATTCTACACTTTCAAAAAAGTTTAGCACCAAGTTAGCACACTTTTGGAGACTCCAACTTGTTGGTGGGCACTCATTTTTTTGATTCTCCACTTTATTATTTTTTTTAAAATTTATTTATTAAAAAAATATATATATATTTTAATTGTTTGTTTGTTTGGTTTTTTCAGACGGTTATATGCCTAACCACTATATTTCTAACAATTATAATTGTTTACTTCGATTATATGTTTTGAGGAATAAAAAATAATTATATTAAAAAAATAAAAATACATTACACAGCTTCCAACAAATAGAATAAAACAATATAATTCAAGAGAAAAAAAAAAAAATTAATACATTAATACTTTGCCACATATAAAAATATATATATTAGATATTACAATTAATCGTCCCTTTTATGCTTAATACGCTATAAATTCATTTTGTCAATCATAGATCCATGCTTTCATTACCGGTGTTGCAGATCATGCTTTCATTGCCGGTGTTGCAGATCATTTAAATTTTTTTCCATTATTTGTGCTTCCCAAAGAATCTGCTCGTAGATTATTGTGTGGAAACCACAAGTGGAGTATGGGGTGTAGATTATCATGTGAGAACCACAAGTGTGGAATTCCCGTGTGGAGTATGAAGTGGAGATTATTGTGTGGGAACCACAATTGTGGAATTCCCATACCAAACCATTTGCATCACCCAGTCAATATCCAAATATGGATGCAAATACAGATGCATTGGCATACTCTTAGAGAGTGCTGCATACCTATCCATATATGCTCAACACTTTCACTGTTCGGATTCGATGCGAGACATGAACCTCAAACAACTAGCCAAGATAAAATAAAACCATAACCATACTCCAGACTTTTCCGGACCAAAATTCAATTCCACCAGAAGTGAGTTCAAGAGGTACCAAGGATGTAAGCCTCTACAACTGGTTCAATAGAAGGTTCGAAGAACTTCAAGCAATTTTCATACTTTTGAAGCAAACCCTAGAAAATCTTAATACACTCGCCACACTCAACATAGATGACCTAATTTTTGTGTTCATATCAAGCTCTTTAGTCATTTCGATTTTGAAGATCAATCCACACTTCGCCACTCGAAATAAGCAACTCAAGAAGACTTAAATAAAATTACAACTCAAACGATTTTTAATACGTAATATTCCAAAACACAATTATATATTCCTAACATCAAATCACAAAAGAAACATTAAGAAAAACACATCCATCAACACCCAAATTTTGATAGTTTATTCTCCAACTAGCCCCCTCTAGCAACCAAGGCATGCAAAAAATCCTTGAAGTTCCCATTAGCTCTATCTTCAAGCATGTCCGATAGAGTATATCCATATCTGCTAAGGTGCTCTTCGTTGATCTCTTTCATATCCACATCTGCTCGGGTCACGATTACTCGAGTCAAAGCTTCTTTAGCATTCTCATCTGCACTTGCTTCCACTGATGCATCCAATACCTGAAGAAGATTTACAAAGAAAAAAACGTCATATCAATATGTGTGTGCGCGCACGTGTATATATAGAGATATAATTAGATATTTAGATGGAAAGAAAAGGAGAGGGAAGTCATTTTAGAAGCTCCAACTGGTCTCACCTTGCTAAAATATGTTTGAGGAATACATAGGCATTGCACTGTGTCCTTTAAGATCAAGTCAGCTTCAAGATCCTGTAAGAAAGGAAGGTCATTTCCAAGGAAGGACTTTACATTGCCTCTAGTGTAGCTACTAGCATTTGACTTAACTAAGCAATTTTTTTTTTTTGGGTAACGAAGAATAATCCATCCACTAGACTCTCAGATAGTTTGCAAACTCCGAATGCACGCAATCACCCAGAAAACCAAGTGTATCATTTAAACTCAAGTTGATGAACCAACAATCAGAGGGACACCCTCAAAGGCCTTACAATAGCAATGAAATTAATTTAAGTGATTGTAAATATGGGAACATAATAGGATTTCCAATCCAAAGGCATGTTATGTTTTGCAAACTCTGGATGAACGCAATCGCACAAAAACCCACGTGTGTTATTTAAACCCAGATTGTGAAACTAGCGACCAAAGGGATACCCCCAAAGGCAATGAAATTACTTTTAAGAGATCATAAATATGGGAACATAATAGGACTTTCAATTCAATTTTCAAAGCAATGTTATGTTATTGTGGACAACCCTTGTAGCATTTCATACCTCATCAATGTTTTTGCCACACATTTCCTTGTAGTGCCTGAAAATTGCCTTGAGATGGAGCTTGCTTCTTGTTGCTAGTATCCTCACTACCTCTTCGTCCTCGATTGGCTTCTTCTTATTAGCATTTTTAATGGCAGCACCAAGTGTCTTGGCCTCAGATTTTGCAGTCGCATCATTAACACGCTGTCCTTCGTATCGATATGAACTCACAAGTGCTACGAAAAGCTGTTCCGAAAAAGAAAAAAAGGGAAAAAAAAAAAAAAGGCTCATGACATGCCATTATATGCAAAACTATCACATTTCTATATTATATGCGAAACTGTCACATTTAAAAAAATTGTTTCATATTGGATGCAAATTGGTGGCATTCAATTTCTGAAAGGTATGTCAACTAAGGTTAAGCATGTGGTTGCCCAAGGATCATTGGCTTTTTGTTCCACTTTAGAGGGGTACAAGTTGGGCCTATCCGTTAGTGTGGCAGTCTTGTTTTGGCCCAGAATAAATGTCCAGACTCACTATAACGGTTTCGGTTTTTGGGCAAGGCAGGGCAAGTGTATGTTGATACTTGGTAGGAACACGTAAGGGCTGGTCTTAACGCTAAATTAAAATACGCAAAGATATTGAATGAGCTAGACATGCCACATCATTGGTATGGTCGACTAATAAAAATACAATATATCAGTTTGTCGGAGCAAGTTAGACGGACTACTTGGAACATGGTGTACACTTGCACATCTCCTTATCTAGGTCAATCTAAGCTATGAACCCTTCAACCCAAACTAGTCCAATCCAATCTCCAATAGGAGCCTAAAATGAGTTAAAATCTTTCGCCTCCTGTTGCAATTGAGCAGACAAATTACATTGAAATTCGGATTGGTCTCAGGTTATACTCAGAATCAAGTTTGAGTTAGATTTTAATTAATTGTTAGACATCCAAAATAATAACAATAAACATTGATTCAGTGTTTTCAAATGCAACAGTAGAAAAGTGGCACTACTCACCTTGCGCTCAGGGCCATTGATATGGTAGGCAACGTCTTCTTCCATGGAGTGGTCAAAGAGAGAGTGGTAGGCTCTTCTTGCTCCGAATAGCTCTTCGGACGATCTAGTACACGCCACCTCTATCAGCAATCGATACGACTCCGGTCCCTTTGTCAATGCCTCCTTTAACAAACGAGCATCTCTTTCCCAAGGATGCATGGTCCACAGCACCATAGCGTTCTGATCATTATAAAATGAAATGGTCACATAATTTAGATGAGTCATATATCATATGATCTTCAAATTTAACATATCATCCATTATTCTTTAACAATTACTTTCTCCGTCCCACAAAAATAAATGCCTAGTAGTTTTTAATGTTTTTTTATATAATAATAGAGAATGAACTTTCAAATATACCATTCTATGGTGAGTTTACATGCTTTTATAATTTCAAGGCAAGAGGGTAAATTAGGAATATTAAAAAATAGTACATTAAATTTTAAAATTGGGCAATTATTTTGGAACATCCAAAAAATAGAAAGGTGACATTTTTTGTGAAAGTTGCTTCACGAGGCACTAAGACCCAAGTCTTTTCCAACTAGGCCAACTCCTTGGGGTAGATGCGCGTTTGTGTGTATGTGGGTTAATTGCATATAAACCCTAAACTTCAAAAAATTACATAATACCCCATGTATTATAAAAATTGCACATTCCCCTGAACATAGGGTTAATTGTACAGAACTCCCTGATCTATAAAAAAAATTACACACCATCCCTCAAATAGAATTGATCCCCTTTTGCTGTTAAAAATTTGCAAACAATGCCAATAGTTTAACTATATTAGATAGCCACTAAATATGTCTTAAAATTTACTAAATTCCCACTAAGAATGATTGCACAAAACCCCGATGCTAAAAGTTTTGCAACCTCCCCAATGAGAAAATCGGGTCTGCTCTGGTACCACTTGTAATGAACCAGGTGTTAATTGTCATCCCATCCTAAAGCAGTTAGGTAGTGCTAACCCAAGACTCATCTCATTCGTGTAGGACAACTGAACATGAACCCTTGAGGATAAGAAATTTAGTATATTTAGAGAGGTAATATGCATTGGCCAATAGATGTGAAACAAATAGCAATAACAGATGAAACACCTAACAACCAGATTAAACATTACAAAATAAAAGAGAAAATATCAAGTGTCATTTTATGTGCATTCTCTGAAAATTAATACATACATACATACATTATATATACATATATATATATATCTACACACACCAACCTTGAAACGTAAGAATTCAATTTGGAGTTGTGCGATGTGTCCATCATTCCATCTCTCGAAAAGCCGATCATCCTCCGTGAAGAATTGGGGAGCCCCTTTCCTAAATGATTTCCTCTCTTCATGATGCCACTTCCCCAGTGTTGATATCAATGAAATCTCATCAACACCAAATCCTACAAAATAATATATATATATATATATCAATTTTTCATTTTCGCTACAACAAAACAAAGATCAATGTGGATTATCAATTTTTAATTTTTCTTAATTAATTCCAATATCATATCCATTAATTTATATACATATGTATATGTATATCACACGCGTATTTATAAATTGGAAATGATTATTTTGCATTTACAAAAATTAGATCACATGAACATTACCTAGTTATATATATATATATATATATATATATATATATGGTTGTTTAATTTAAAAAATAATTAAAATTTGGAAAAAGTAATAGATAAATTTAGAGATGGATGAGAGAGAACCTGAGAAAGCCTTTGCGACAGCTTCAAAGTCATGGGTATATATATATATATATATATACGGTTGTTTAATTTAAAAATAATTAAAATTTGGAAAAAGTAATAGATAAATTTAGAGATGGATGAGAGAGAACCTGAGAAAGCCTTTGTGACAGCTTCAAAGTCATGGGAGATGTCTCCCATTTTGTTGTTTTCTGATTGCAAAGAAAACTATGAGAGTGTGACAGACCTCTCTCAAATACTCTCTACTTATATAAGTTTTCAAGGGTATTTTTGTCATTTAAAAAATAAAGGTATTTTGGGTATTTCGCTAACTCTTACCTCAACACTTACAATATTAGGTACATTATAACGGCTTAAATTGAAATATGTTACATCTTTCAATGCTAATTCTGTTTTTGATAAACGCATTCATTTATAATTCAAATAACAAATAACAAAAATGTGAGCCTATTGTCACAGCCTAGAGTTTATGGGTAAGATCATAAAAAATCCTATAATATTTTAATAATCATATAAAGCTTTCGTAACAAAACTGGTAACTAAGTTGTAAAATGATAAAATTGATCTTACTATTTTAATTTTAATTTAATTTAAATTTAAAAGAGGTATATATATATATATATATATATATATATATACACACATACATATATATATATATACATATAGAGTAGTGATCTCTTACTTCCCACGGAGCAAGAAAAATCTTCCGCACTTTTTATAGTGACCATTAGATTTAATCTAATGGTCACATTCCAAACCCACTTATATGTTTTCCTTTTATTATAAAACTACTATCATTATTTCTACTTTTCAAATTTAATATTTATCAATACAATTAATTATAACAATAAAAGGTAAGTACTAAAAAAATAAAAATAATGATAGTATAAAAATAGCAGTATTAAAGAAAATACTAAGAAAAATAACTAATTTACAAAGAAAATATGAAATTTCATAAAATAATAGCATGTTTTGTCGCGAATCTCATCCTTACATCAATAAATTTTTGTTATTATAGTAGAACTAGAAAAAATATATTGTGCAACTTATTATGATGAGTAATTAGAATGTGTTTACAAGTAGCTAGAATTTGAGACGGGTTAGAGAAAAATAGATTGAATTTCTAGTTTTTAAATATCATGTATTTAGGGAGGTATACAATAATTTAAATTATAATCTATTAAATTTTTTATGGGTGAAGTTTATGCAAATCACATATTACATTAAGTTGATCAAGTGGATAAAAAATAGAGATTTTATTTTTAATTTTTTATTATTTTTTAGTCTATATTTCATTGTTTTATATGTCAATAGTATAATTTTTAATTTATTTTTCACACTCAAACAGACAATGTCAATTTTATTATTAGTGAGACGTGTGATTTAGAGAGGTGAAGAGATTTCTATTTTTATTTTTTTAGTACTTATTTTTTATTGTTATAGTTAATTGTATTGGTAAATATTAAATTTGAAAACTAGAAATAGTGATAGTAGTTTTGTATTACAAGGAAAGCATATAGGTGGGTTTAGAATGTGACCATTAGATTTAATCTAATGGTCAATCTAAAAAGTGCAGAAGAATTTTCTCTCTCTCTCTCTCTATATATATATAAGGGCATTTTGGTCATATGGAGAGTAAGCAAGCTAGGGTTTAATGGCAAATTAATGCAAGAGGGTTAACTTGATGACTTTTTGATAGGTCAAGTTTGATGAGGTTGACTTAATACAAGAACTTTATATGCATAAATTTCATAATAAATGGGGGTTTTATGTTTTTTTTACTGTAAGTCACATAATTTTTTTTTAAATTAGTGCGATCTCCGAGTACTCTCATTCTCATTTTCATTATGTGTGGCTTAAATTTTGTTGTTCCCTTATTCGTTCTTCCTCTTTGTGACTTAGATATTAATACTAATGTCATTTTACTTTAATTGTGGAGTGTATTTTTTAAAAAAATAATAATTTTTTTTTCCAATTCTATCTTTTCTACCGTCGGGGAAAGATGACAATATTTGAGAGTATTTTTTAGGCCAAAATTTATTAGGTCTTGCTGCCAAAATATATACATATAGATATATATATTATTACTGGTTTTAACAAATCTTATTATAAGCTCTACGACAACAATTTATAGTTGTTGCAGAATAAGAGAATTTTGTGCTTTGCTTTCTCAACATTGTATCACCGCCACCTAAGATAGCCATCACTTTTTCTTTTACATTTTCAAAAAATAAATTAATTATTATTCATTTTTATTTCTATAAAAAAATAAAAACAAAGGTCTTGGTTGGTATATAAATTTGAAAATAGTTCTCAACAACTCATCTTTTAGAGAACTATAAAATACAGTTTTCTGAAAATATATCATTTTTATAACTGAGTTTTCAGAAAACTGAATCAAATAGTACAATTTTCAGAGGTTGGCGGGTGTGCTGTGAGCGGGTGCGAGACACTGACGAGTTACGAGTGCACAATCCCACATCACCTGGGTAAAGGAAAGGTGAAATGCTTATATGTAGTGGGTCGTTACAAATGGTATTAAAGCCTGACCCAGCCGGAAGTGTCCCGACGAGGACGTCGGACCTCCAAGAGGGGTGGATTGTGATAATCCTATGGGGGAATGTGCCGTGAGAGGGTGCAAGATACTGATAGGTTACCACACTGACGAGTTACGGATATACAATCCCACATCGCTTGAAAAAAGGAAATGTGAAGTGCTTATACGTAGGTGTGTCACTCCAATTGGTATGAGGCAATTTGGGGTAAAGCCCCTCTGAAAATAATACTGAATTTTTGTATAATTTTCTAATTTTCAGTTTTCTGAAATTAAAAAATTATTTTCAAATTTACAAACCAAGTAGATCCATAGTTTCTCTATTTTTTATTTTTTATTTTTGTGAGTTTTTCTTTTCTTTTACCCTATTAAGATTGTTTTAGAGCTTTGCTAGTCTTTTTAAATTTAAAGAGAACTTGAATAAAATTTTATGTAGTTGAATTATCCCTAATTAAGAAAATGTGAGCCTAATGTTACGGGCCTAGAGTTTGCACACTCACTGCACTTAGGCGGACGTGAGGCTGAGCCCACTTGTGATGATAAGAGGAATAAAATTAAATAATGGATTGTGATATCTCATGTTTGATAAACGTGACACTTAAAATATGACAAGACTGAGATTATATCCATCCTACAGCTAAGCTTGATGTGGATGAGTTGGTTGAGAAATGAATAGCAATTATTCTAAGTCACGACATTTTTTGTGACTTTTTTTTTTTTTTTTTTTAAAATTGTTTTAGAGCTTTGCTAGTCGTTTTACATTTAAAGAGAACTTAAATAAAATTTTATGCAGTTGAATTGCCCCTAATTAAGATAATGTGAACCTATTATCACGGGCCTAGAGTTTGCACCGCGTAACCTCATTGCAATTAGGCAAACGTGACACTGAGCTCACTTTTTAGATAAATGATAAGAGAAACTAAAATTAAATAATGAATTGTGATATCTCATGTCCGATAAACGTGACACTTAAAATATGACAAGAACGAGATTGTATCCATTCTACAGCTAAGCTTGATGTGGATGAGTTGGTTGAGAAATGAATAGCAATTATTCTAAGTCACGACATTTTTTGTGATTTTTTTTTTTTTAAGATTGTTTTAGAGCTTTGCTAGTCGTTTTACATTTAAAGAGAACTTAAATAAAATTTTATGCAGTTGAATTGTCCCTAATTAAGATAATGTGAACCTATTATCACGGACCTAGAGTTTGCACTGCGTAATCTCATTGCAATTAGGCAAACGTGACACTGAGCTCACTTTTTAAATAAATGATAAGAGAAACTAAAATTAAATAATGAATTGTGATATCTCATGTCCGATAAACGTGACACTTAAAATATGACAAGAACGAAATTGTATCCATTCTACAGCTAAGCTTGATGTGGATGAGTTGGTTGAGAAATGAATAACAATAATTCAGACATTTTTTGGTCCACGGCCATGTGATATGGTCTGTGGTGCACTTTTTTATTAGTTTTTATATATTGATAGAAAATGTCTTCCCTTTTTCACATAAAGACGAGAGGTAGTTGATATTCGTTGCAACAACACCTTCAAGCACTTTTCGTTGTACCATTTTCAAGTATCATAATTACTCTTTTCTGGTTCATCCAAGTTTCTTCTTCTCGGTCTCGCGTTGTCTCTTTCTTCACTCCTCTCTCTTTCTCTAAAATATATTTTTTTGTAATTTTAAAAATAATTTTAAATTTTTAATTTAACATTAAACAGTAAAATTAAATTTGTCATTTCATAGCCTGATTAACGGGTCAAACACAAAATATTAAAGCAATTTGATCACTTTTTTAAAAGTGCAGGAATATTCTGAAAAGGTTGGGAGTTTAATGATCAAGTAAAAGGTTTTATGATTTTAATCCATAAAAAAATACTTTAACTTTTTAAATGGAAAACCTTCTTTTTTTTTTTTTTTTTTTTTTTTTCATATCAGGGAAGTATTCACATAATTTTGTATAAGATTGGGAGGAGTTCAAGTTCGAGTTCTAACTTTTTATTTTTTATTATTAATTTTTTTTCACCAAGGTTATAATATTAAATTAGAGCCCCTTTAAGCTAACAAGTTGAAGACTTGTGAAACACGAGGGACAAAAGTTAAAGGGTCCACCTCCAACCATGTCTCCTTTTCTTTATGAAAAAAATCCACAAGCAAATGGCCATTGCATGACATGAATTGTCTGCCTTGTGTTTTTTTGTCTTTTTGTCCTTTTATTTTATGCATTTGAGATGTGCAATGATTGCAAGAGTGTGAATGATCATTAATCATTATAGTTATCCTCATTTTCATTTTGCATTGCCATAAAATATTTATGAATAAAAAAATTTTAAAATTTAATAAAATTAATTAATTTATTAATTATGGACAACTTAATTTACACGTATCAATAACATAGACTTTTCCCAAATATAATATATATATATATATAAAATAACAAAAGGAACTTTTATTTCATTTTTGTGTACCAAAGATATTTCATTTTTTTTGTATTCCTCTTACATTCACTTTGCTAGGAATTCTCTATTTATTTATCTATTTAATTGGTGGTAGGTCCACGTAAGTAAGATTTCATTTCCTAAAATAAAGCACTTGAATCACGAGGATGAGAAAGTTATTCTCTTGATTGGTCCTACCAACCATTAAAATCTTATCATGTCCATCAATAATTTTTCATTATTAATGAGAGTCCAAATTATTATATTCACATCCAGCTCAGGTGTCTACCACACAATTGTGCATGATATTTGTATGTCTTTTTTTTAAGCTTTCAAGTGTGCTGGCAGATGAGCTGGCCGTCCCACTGCAATGATGACCTTCCCTATCCATGCATGCATGATGCATTGATTGTGGTCGGTGAACTTTAAGCTTCAATGGAGTTCTTCCTTATCCAATACTCTGTGTGTGTGTGTATTCATCACAAGAAACACACTTTTTTCTTTTCTTATTTTTTTGGAAGTCAAACCTCTCACTTCCGCTTTGAAGATAAAGAGTTTATATCACTGGATTAGATGTCCTTTGATAATAATGTATCATTTGAGAATTAAGAATTTGGCTATGACGTGCAATGCTTGATGAGTAATGATAAAAAATTTAATAGTCAACAAATTCAATTTTTATGCGAACATATGCTAATATTATTAGGAATATTAGTAGCATGATGATAACATTTGCTTTCATTCACCTAAATCAGTCTGTCTTCAAAATTCAATATTATCAATGCTCTAGTTAGAACTGAATGAAATTAACCCAACTTCTTATATCATTTAATTAATGGTGCGGCACATGTTTCATATACACACTTCATTTGATGGTGCAGCTCATATGTTTCCCCTCACCACTACTAATTACCCAGTATTTTTGTGCTTCCAACTGTAATATTTATTTTACTATGTTGTAATTTAAAAGCATGTATGTTGTTGGTTTTTGTGACTCGAATTCGGTTGGTATGTAGTATTTTGTAGAAAATGGATTAGTATGAGGTTTTAAACCAATTCAATTAGGGTGAAGTTTGCAGTTAAGGAAGATTGCCTTAATAGACCAGTACATTTGGGTGAAGAGTGAATATTCCGTTCTTAGAAGCCAGAAGACTTAAAAGAAAGAGGCTGGAGATTTGAGAAAAAAAGTTGTGGCATATTCGGTTGCTATTTTAGAGTTGTGATTGTGATGTTAACTCCTTGTAGATAAGTTGTGGAATTATTATCTAATAAGGAATTGAGTTTGAAAACTCAATAAATATTGATGGGTTTGGGTGAGAAAGAGAGGAAAGATGTAAAGAGAAAATTGTGAGTATTGTGAAGAAATAAGAGAGTATATGTATTTCTCGAGTGTCGAGATGTAGCCTCAAAAGAGATAATGAGTGAGAGTGGGTTTTGACATCTAATTGTATATTATATTCCTTGATTCAATATAGTAAAATCTCCATCTCTATGGACATAGCCCTAAAGTTGGGTGAACCATTTAAAATATTATGTTGTGTGTGGAGGTGTATGTGTATGATTGTTATCTTCATATATGTTTGTATGATAATGTGGTGATGATGATGTTTCCATTTTGTATGATGAAGGAGGAATTTAACTCTCGATAACAGCAAACCATTAAAGGAATTGGAGAGAGTTAATATCTTAACAATGTACTCAACCTATAGTCGTAACGGCGCACTCCATTATATGTGTGATGTTTGTGATTTTTTTTTTAACATATATATAATTGTGATGTAGAAAAAGAAAAAGGGAAATTTTATTTAAAAAGGTGGTGGGACCCACTACTAGCATATATGTGTGGCTTAGAGACTCCTTTGGTCTCATTCTTCCTCTCCCTCCCGAAGCTCACTCTCACCCCTCATTCTCCATTTTTTTTCTTTTTCTTTTTACAAGATTTCAATCCTAGATTTCTCCCTCAATTTTTGGAGTTTTTAAATGCCGTTTGCGGCAAATTAGAGATCACAGTGAGATCTTCGATTTAATCGGAGCAAAGGTGGTTTTGACCCTAAGAATTTTGAATTCCAGGGTTTTGATTCGGCAAATTGGGGTTTTTTGCAATTCTTGAGGTAGGGGTTTCTAATCCACAATTTTCTTTGACTTTTGTGAGTTTTCTTATAAAAGTTGTTAAGTTGTTTACTAAATTATGAGTATTGTTTGTGGTTATGAACATTCTATGTATAATGAGCATGACAAGGTGTATATTGTGTTGAAAATGATATAAATTACTTGTATTGGTTATTGATTTTGATTATATGCACTTGACTGCTTGAACGTCTAGTACTATGTTGTCAAAATTGTTAAATGAGAGTTTCTTAATTTAATTTTCCCAAAAATATGTAAATGAGATACAGATGAATTGTATGGAATTATGTACTAGCATGCTTATGTGAAATAGATTATACTTTGTATGCTTGGTATGCTAAAACAATGTTGAAGGGAAGCATGAATTACTTATTTTAGAGATTTAATTTGCAAAGCATGTGTGAACTTCTATGGTTGAATTCATGATTAGGAGCATGAAGCATTCATTCTTCCATTGGGAAAGGAAAAATGGGAAAAATGTTTTGAAAGCAAATAAAATGATTTTGGAAAAATGTTTTTGAAAAGTGTTGAGAAAATCCGGACGCTTAGGAAGCGCCTAGTGGTCCGTGGTATTAGTAAAATTTAGAGGGGGTTAGAGAGAGACTCTAGTGTGGTTGAGCTACCCAGATGACGCCATATGGTGGGGGAAGACTAGCCAACCCCTCCCTCGTGAGGCCTTGGAGGTGCCTTGGGTCGAATTACACTAACGGTTTGGAAGTTAAAATGGAAATGTTTCGGAAACGGGGAGCGACATGAGCATGGCATTGCACTTCATTGGCATACATGATGTATTTGTGACTTGGTTGACATTTGTGTTTATATTGGATGTTGTGGTTATGGTTTACATTCCCAATATATTATGATCCCGTTATCTTGTTTTCTATTCTATACGTGGATTCATGGGGTCATAAGAGGTGTGTATCTTAGACATTTCCTACTGAGCTTACGCTCACCCCTTTATTATTAACATTTTTCAGAACACGGAAAGGAAGTGGCGGACGACGCTCCTCCACTGGGTTCGATGGGTTAGTAGACCGTTTTTGACATACTTTGTAGCTATGATCTCATTTTATTACTATTATTTATTTATTTATTATTATTATTATTATTATTATTATTATTATCATCATCATCATCTTATAAACCCTGGGATGACACGTTTAGTATGTATTGACATAGGAAAGGACGGTAGTGCCCTTAGTTGACCTCGGGTTTAGGTAAGGACTCGGATAGCAATTTGGACCCTCGGGTTTGGGTCGTTACAATATGGTATGATATCTTCTGCTTTTAGTCTGAGCCAGCACAATTTTATTTTTAAGTTTTACTCCAAAATGTCTCATACCATTTGAAGTGTACCAATCCAACATATATAGTACTTCCCCTTTCCATAGCCAAGCAATGTGAGATCGTGCACCCATAGCCTTCTAGCATGGTATGTTGCCATTGTCAGTCCCTTGCTCATTCCAGCCCACAAGGTCACCGGCCATAATCTACCCCTCTAAGAGGCCCGACATCCCTATCGGCACACTTCCAGCTGAATCAGGCTCTAATATCATTTGTAATGATTCACTTCACCACATAATATGATATTGTTTGTTTTGGGCCTAACTTGCACGGTTTTGCTCTTGAATTTTACCCCAAAGGGCCTTGTACCATTTGGAGTGTACCAACCCTACATACAGGGGCGGATCTAGGAATTTTTAATGAGGTGGGTTAATATTTTTTTGGGTGGGCTAGTATTGTTTTGGGGGTCTAATACTAGTAATAATTTCTTTTCTTTTTTTTGGCCAGGGCTAAAATTACCTATAGTAAAAAAAAAAAAAAAAAAAAAAAACACAAAGAAAAAAAAGGGGAAGCAATTGAGCCCACTAAAGCATACACATAAATCCGCCCTTGCCTACATATATAACACTTCCCCTTTCCATACCTGAGTTATGTGATATTGTGTTCCCGTAACCTGCCAGGGTAGCTTGCACCTGCCCATAAGGTCACCTTAATCCATCCCCTAAGAGGCCCAATATCCCCGTCGGTTCATTCTGGATGGTTCAAACTCTGATACCATTCGTAACAACCCACTCCACCACATGATATGATATTATCCGTTTGGGTATGAGTCTGCACAATTTTTGTTCTTGAGTTTTACTACAAAAGGTCTCATACCATTTGGAGTATACTAATCTTATATATATAGCACTTCCTCTTTTCACATCTAGGCGATGCGAAATTATGCGCATGTAACTTGCCGGTGCCTCATTCGCACTAACCCACACACATTCGCCCACAAGACCGCCATAATAGTTGAGTTGGCATAGTGTAACGAGTGGGCGCTTGTCCATTTATCCAAAAGCTCAAACTATTGGATAGTGCTGCATACCCACCCATTTATATCCAATCACTTTCCCATCCGATTCTGATGTGGGAGAAATGACCCTTGTTACATTCTCCCCCACCTAAACTCGCAACGCCCTCGTTGCGATTCGGGCCACCCTGCCTACCCGGGGTGCTAACCCTAACGCCTTCGTGGCAAAGCGCTCGGTTTGACATCTGATCAAGGACTGGGTCTGGCTCTGATACCAACTGTAACGGGTGGGTGCTTGCCTATTTACCCAAAAGCTCGAACTATTGGGTAATGCTGTATACCCACCCATTTATACCCAATCACTTTTCCATCCGATCCGATATGAGACAAATGACCTTTGTTACACATAGCCACTTCTCTTTTAAAGTTGAGTTGGATTCAAATTGCATAGTAAACATTAGTGAGAGAAAGGTATGAGTATTTACCTAACCAAGAAAAAAATAAGTATGGATATAGTTATGAATATGGTTACCAATGCGAAAATTGGTTATGGACATGGATACGAACACGAGTACAAATATTACAACACCATACGAACACGACAATACAATAAATCTCATAATATGACGTGGACATGACAAAGATATGTCTAAATAATAATAAAAAATATTTATTAATATCAAAAATATTTATTGCTTATTTTGTCTGAATTATAAGGAATGTAACCACTAATTTACAAATTAATGTGGACTAATTTTTTCTTTTCTTTTATAAAAAGAGAGAGATACCCTACAACATTTCGGTTGGTAGAAATGAAATAAATGGAAGAGAGGTCAAAGTTTTAAGGAAGGATCGTTTTTCATTGACAGATATAAGAGGGAAAATGTAAACAAAACTAAAACGGATAAATGAGACATGCCTTCTTATTTATATGTGTGTATATATAATAAAAATTAAATGTTTATAGAGATGAATTCAATCAAACAAATATACTCCGTAACACATAATTGTGTAAATATGGTTGGCGTAACACCCATTTAATTGTTTTTTTTCAGTTGTCACTGTCAATAAATCAATTGATATTAATGTGACAGGTAACCAATAAGTTTGGAGTTAATCCCAATATTATTTAGCGTACAATTTTGATGTTCCTAAAATAAATTATAAAACTAAAGAGGGTCTCATTGATATTTTGCCAAAAACATGTTCATGAAAAAAAAAAAAAAAAAAAATAGTGATTATTAGAAGGGATTTGAGAATTGGAAGAGGGGTATAATGGTCTAATCAAATAGATCCAGTGTCACCCGTAATTATCTATGACTGAGGAGGGAAAATCGCAAGAAACAGAAAATGGGAATCAAAACAGAAACTCTTCACAGACCAATAAGCAATTGAGCTATTTTCTCAACCAAATTTTCTGTTTTTGTGTTTGTTTGGATTGTTTGGATCTTGTGGGAAGAAAGAAAGAAATGGGTACAATCAGAGTACCACAAACTGTTCCTTCACCTGAAGACGATTGTGACAGACTCAAGAAAGCTTTTCAAGGTCTGTTTCTCTCTCTAAAAATCCACAAGCACATACACACCCTCTTCTCCTCTAGAATTTTCTGTGTTTTCTGATTTCTAAATATGGGTATCATGAATTTTTGTGTAAATTTTCAAATTTTCTTGTTTATTTGGTACGTTTATATATATATATATATATATATATATAATATGTGTGTATATGTGTTTTGAAAGATGTGAATTGATGTTTAGCAAGGCTAGCGGATGAGAAGGGAATAATATGGGTTTTGGGGCGAAGAAATGCGGAGCAACGGAGGAAGATCAGAGACACATATCAGCAGCTTTACAATGAGTCTCTCATTCAATCTCTCCAAACTAAGGTCTATGGTGATTTCATGGTACATTTTCTTCCAAATCTTTTACACTCCCATATTTTCAGTTTTTCAATTTTTTATTAAAACATATTGATATCTTTGATAAGAAGGCCAGCTTTGGCACAAAGATAAGGTTGCTTCATTGTGATCGGGAAGTCATAGTTTGAAACTATCTTCTCCAATACATGGTCGGAGATCTCGCAATGGCGGGTTTTATTTTGACAAACAAGTAAATTATTTTATTTTATTTTTGTTGTTTGATGCATTATTTTGTTCTCTGTTGATCCCCTAATTTTGATGTACATAATTTTAATAAATTGGGTCCCATAGATGTGTGTTTTAACTGACAATACATATGCATGAACTCCAAGGTTCAAATCCCATTGTTTGTAAAAGAATGCATATACATACATACAAGATTGTGTGGGCCTGCATACATATTTGTGCATAAATTCTCTTTTTTTTTTTTTTTTTTTTTGAACATAAAAGCAATTGCATACTTTTATCCGCACATGGACTCAAATTCATCCCCTACTCTTTGAGGACAGAGAGGTTATACCATTGTGCTAGATGTCCTTTTGTCAATAAAATGTCGTGTTGCTCATAAGAGAAAAAAATAGATAAACAGCATACTACATATCATGTCGAAATCCACATTTGAAGAATCATATATATAGGAAAAACCAAGGCTGGCTCAAGCCGAAGGCAATCGAGACAATTGCCTCGGGCCACGCAATTAAAAAGACCCATTCAAATATAATTAGGTTCTAATGTAGGTTGTTAATTAAGATTTTCTAATTTTATTTTATTTTATTTTTCCTTTGGACCGATAAAATTTTTGAACTTAACGAATAAGACTCTTTCTGATTTCTGAATAGAAAGTTTTTTTTACTTTACTGTCATCTTTTTGTTGCCTTCCCCATTATGTTAAACTTCTTCTCATTTCTTAATACATTTTCTTCTTCTAGACTTCTTATTGAAATTTTTTTTACACACAACCTCTCATTCCTCAAATAATATAAAATTGTGAACTTTTTGCATTTGAATATGCTCTAAAATTATCACCCCCAAAAAAATAGAACTAAGAATGACTAATAATTTGCCAAGTCCAACTACATAATTTTAACCATTTTTTTTTTTTTTGTTTTTTTAAACATAGTCTAAACGAACGAAAAACTAAATATTCTAGTTTCAAATTTCTTTGTGAATTTCAACTAAAAGTGTAGTTGAATCTTAGTCGGAAACCTAAAGTTTCGCCTTAGGCCCCAACTCTTATTGACCCGCCCTTGGGCAAAACCTGCTTTAATTTTAGCATCCAAAGGCCTTGTTTCCTCCCCGCCTCCTCACCCTTACCTAAAAAAGAAATTCAATGAACAAACATTGCCCTTGGTTCTCCAATAAAATATGGTGAACACATGCGTGATATTATTTCTAAACTCGATTGTCAATAGAAAGACAATTTGTTGAAATGAACAATTAAATTCGGAGCATTAATTTTTTTTCCTAAACTAATTGTTCCATAATAAAATGCTGGAATGCAGTTAAAACACCAAGAAACTCTTATTTAGAAAAGTTCAAATTCCACTTTTTCACAATGGAATTGTTGAATTTGATTACAAAATATTGAAATTAAATATAAATTAATAAATTACGAACCAGATACATAAGAAATTTGATATATAATTATAGATCTGTGTGCTTAAATAATTTTGATTTGAAATACTTAGCTGATTGTTGTGGCTGAAGCTTGATAATAGGCCTACAAATGACTTCTGAACTTATGTGAAGGCTAGCAATTTTTGGATCTAATCTCGACCTTTACATTCATGTTATATAATCATTTAATTGTTCTATGAATAACAGAAAGCACTGGTTTTGTGGGCATATGATCCTCCTGAAAGGGATGCAAGGCTAGCAAATGAAGCTTTGAAGTCAAAAAAGAAGGACATCAAGCAACTACAAGTAATAGTTGAAATAGCATGCGCGTCATCTCCTCAGCATTTGATGCTAATGAGGCAGGCCTACTGTTCTCTTTTCGATTGCTCTATTGAAGAAGACATCATAGCAAATGTTTCCCCACCCCTTCGAAAGGTAAAATGAGTGAAGCACCCGTGTTGAACATTATTTTACATAAAAACACCATTTTGCCTTGAGAAACTAAAGAAAAATATTAACATAAATGAACAATTAGCCACGTCTCCTTACCCTTGATTTTGGTTATTTGATGAAACCAACGAGAGAAACATGCCCACACTCGATAAGTGTAAACTCGGCATACTTACCTGATTTCACGTAACATAGGCAGAGTATAAACACTAGGAAAGTTGTGCAATTTTCTGTGAGCAACTTGGCTTTAGATACTGCATATTTTATTAACAAGAAAGGTGTAATTTTATCTGTGCAAGTGGGAATTATTTAACTTGCAGTGAAGTTTCCTTCTTATCTACGGTATTGGGGTCTGTCCACTCAGGTTAGGTCCGGGCAGGTTTCAGATCAGTAAGTTCTAAAAGTTGCAAGACTCAGAAGGGTTTAGAACCTGTGGACAGGTGGTTTAAGCGTCAATTTTTTCCCCATGAAGTACTATTTGAAATTTGAAAAGTTCTGCAACAAATAAATATTTTTTTTGAAAAAGAATAATAATGTAGTTGGTCAGTTGCTTAATTTTCTTTAATTCTTAAAGAGAAAATCACTAATGTGAACTTGGATCTTAAGAAGATAGTTTTGGAATTTTAACCACCTTAAATTGGTTCATTTGACTCAGAAACTAAGTGCACAGACAGAGATTGAGAAAGATGAGGCAATGACCTTGTACTACTACTCTTAGATCCCCATCATGGTCACACTATTGGATTCTCAGTGTGTGAGATGTGTGAGGTTTGAGACACTTGAGCCAACTCGAGTGTAAACCTCATAAGCTTTCCAAAAGCATCTGCAAACCTATGATCATTTTTCGTCGCATTCACAACACGTTTGATTGGTTTGAACCGACACATTCTCATTCCAAATTGACTTATGATGTTGGTATTGTGTAGGCTCTACTGTGTCTAGTGAGTTCCTACAGATATGACGGAGAAGTTGTGGATTCAAATGTTGCAAGTCTTGAGGCAGCTACACTACATGAAGCTATTGAAAAGAAGCAATTAGATAATGACGATGTTGTGTGGATCCTTGCCACTAGGAATATTTTTCAGCTTAAAGCAACTTTCGCATTCTACAGGGGAAACTATGGAAAGCCCATCGACGAGGTTCAACTTTTACAGCCAAATAATTATTTAATAAGCGAACATTTTGTCCTTTTTTTTTTTTGTTTTTCCATTTTGACTGGTTTATTTGACGAATCTCTTGACAGGACATTAAGGGGAATGGACTTCTGGAATCTATATTCAGGATGGTGATATGGTGCTTAGAATCCCCAGAAAAACACTTCGCCGAGGTGATTGTGGAGAACCATCTAACTCTTTTAATTTCCTAAATATCATATTTTCTCTCACTTGATATATTGGAGGCAACATCTTAAAGAACTTTTTATTTTAACTTCCACACTGAGGTATGTATGGTTTGCATCTTAGAAGTACAATTTTTGTTGACAATGATCAACTAATCGCGATATAGAAAACTTGTTGACAAGAGTGTCAACAACCTTTAACTTTTAACATTCTAAGCAAATAATAGTGGATTTTCTTTATAGTGTTCAGCTAGTACTAGATGTAGGTGTTCATGCGTCTTGACACGCTAAGTTTTAGTCCATACCAATTCGTTCTTCCTTGAATAGCTTGAATTCGACACTCGGGATGTGTTTTGCAGAATCGGGTTGTTGAAATGCAACTGTTTGTCTGTATATATGTATATATGGTGGTTGCAGAACCAGCTGGCTTTTCTGAGTGTGTCTAAACTAGGTTTATTATGCTGGTTAAGTGAAATAATAGTTCAGACGGGACTACAGGCTGTTTTTTCTTCTTCGAAAAATGTTTCTGCTAGGCAGCTTTGTCGAAAATCACTTTTAGAACTCAATTAGGAAGTTTGGAATTGATATTATCTTCACTGCAGTGATTCAAAGGCGACTAACTGAACCGTTTTTTTGCTGAAAATATTAAAAGTATTTTCAATTTCATTTTTTTTTTGTTGCTTGAGCATCTCCAGGTTGTCAGAGCTTCAATTATTGGGATTGGGACCGATGAAAATGCACTGAGTAGAGCCATTGTAACTCGAGCTGAAATTGACATGGCGAAAATCAAAGAAGAGTATTACAACGTGAACAAGGAGACCCTCGCCAATGCAGTCACTGGCGACACGTCGGGAAGCTACAAAGACTTCCTACTGACCCTTGTTGGAGAGCAACTCTGATTATGTTCACCTACGCCAACTTATATAAATTATTTATATGATCGGTAAACTTCAAAAGCACAAGTGTGTTTCTTGCAGAATTTAAGGCTTGAAGCACCAGCAAGAACACCGGTGATCGTATATTGATTGTTTGTATATAATATTCTTTTTCAGCCTTTGCAGTGTTTAAGCACAAGAACAGGATTTCTTCCTGACCAACTATGTTATCAATCTATCTTGCAGAACTTATGCTTGTTGATTTGTTAGCATGTTCATTTCCTATAGAACTTTTGCAACTTGTGATGTTGATTGTTTATCACACAGTTATGGTTTTACTTTGGTTTTGTGTTAGCCAAACAGACCTCAAGCAATTTTTTTTTTCTTAGTTGGTACTCACACACACGTTTTTACTGAGGCTTGAACCCCTGACATCTCCTTCAAAAGTAAAGGCTTGATACCGCTAGGCACGTTTTTACTGAGGCTTGAACCCCTGACATCTCCTTCAAAAGTAAAGGCTTGATACCGCTAGGCCTGACCTATTGGTGACCTCTAGCATTTCTGATATGGTGCTGGAATAGAATTTTTTGTCCCCACTTTTATTGGTGAAATTGATTGTAGTATTTTAAGATCCCAACTCACATTATGACCAAAACTGTTGACATTCAAAAACACTTTCAAAATTGTAAATCCCAAGTTTTTGGGTCATTCTCAGTTGCAAGCAATGTTAATGCTCAATATAAATTTTGTAATAAGAGAAGCATTGTGAAGTTATGTAATAGATTGTGGGCTGTTTGTTTGTTTTGTTTTCTTTCATCTGCATGCCCTTTCTCACACAGTCCACATAAAATACAATGTGATCACCACAAAAGTTTCTGAATATAATGAACTGAAGGCAAAAACCAACCATTGCATCCCAGAGCTCCATTAACTAATAATCTAGCAAACTAAATTACTTACTGCTTGATAATGAAGCTCTCACTTGAGCTGCTTCAATTTACCCGAAGAAAAATGATACTCCAAAAATGGCAATTACCACAGCTCAAGTATAAAAAAGCATCAAAGGTGGAACATCGAAATTATTGTTGTAATTGTCAGCCTATAAAAACTTCTTTTATAGCAATTTGCTGTCAATTTGAAAGACCTTTGCATGCAAACTATAAACATCCTGTAAAAAGGTTGAAATTGTAATTTTCATGAGAAATTCCTAGAGAAGTATAGAGAAAACATGAGAAATATATCAGGAGTCATTACTTAGTTTAGTTCTCAAACACTTTCCATTCACCTAAGAAATTTAAAGAAGTCACAGATCCACAGTTAATCATACTGTTTCTTTTGGCCTACTCAATAACACCACAAAAAGGTAGGTACCCAAAACTACCAAAAGTAGGCAAAATATGAACTTGAAAGGCTTCCAGGAAAGGTGTATTTGCTCAAAAAACCTGTACCTCCAGATATTAGCTTCGATTATAAAGTAGTTAATCTAATCATAACATCAATTTCCTTACCCTTCTTCCACCTATCAATCAAAAGATGAGCAAATCAAGCGGCCTTTCGCTGTTAGTCTCTCCTGCCACTTTGAATTGCAGCATACTTTTTGGCTTCATCACCTCTGCCACAAGTGCTTCCATTTGTCAGTATCAGAATACAATGAAAATGAATCAGATGACATATCCCCTATCTTCTTCCACCAACGAAATAGCTTCAGTCTCACCCAGCACTTTGAATTTTGCACACCTACATCAAGAATCATTACTTTTAGAAACATAATCCTTAAATAAATAGAAATTTAGATCTGCTAAATATCTATGTCATCAAAATTCTAAAAAAAAAAAAATGATTGCCCCATATCCCATTTAATCACTCAATCAACACAATTATTGCAACTGAAGAACCTATTCTTTGTTCTTAAGTTTTACCATCTATGTGGCTCATTGTATGATATTATATTTTTCGCCAGCAAGGATCAGATACTACATCAACTACATGGGCCATCTTGGCATTCTTTTGGAACAGCATTTCACACACAACTTTCTTTAAAAAATAATTTGACATTTTAAATAATTCTTAGGTACTTTAGAACTAGCAGGAAGATTATGCATTGTTACTCTTTTATTTATTTTATGTTAGACAATCTGCATGACTAGATATAAGGATTTGTCCCTGCTGCATGGTTATAGCTACAACCACTAGTAAATACATTTAACAAAAATAAAAATAAAAAACGAAAAGGAAAATCGCAGATACTATCAGCACCTAGAGATAAATAAACATGGGACACCATTTCCATATCTACACAAGAAGATGAGAAAAAGACTTTGCAGCGTCAGTTAATAAAGCATAATCATGGAAAGTAATCCTTTACTAGTGGAAATCTTCAACTACTCTACTGCATAAGAAAAAAAAAATTTGCTAAATCTTCCATATCGTTATTAGGATAGTAGTATAAAAATAACACCATTGGTTTGTACAAAAAATTGTGTAAATAATATAATCTCTTAAAATAAGAAAAACAAACAAACAAAAAAAACTATCCAAATAGTCACAACCAACAAAGATTGATCCTTTGATGCTCCTGATGCCTATTTGGAGCTTGAGGGTCAAAGTGACTTTACATAAAGCCATAAAAAAACCTGAAGCATCCTCGCGCCGCCAGGAAAGCTGTGCATCAACAATCTCTCTCACCAAATTATTATATGTCGTGAGCCCATGGACCGCCCTGCCACCCATGACCCATCTACTAGCAATATCAGGGTCATCCTATATCAAATATTGCCAAAGCCTTACATCAAAACAACCTTGACAATTGCCAGAAGAGCTAAAATCTTTGCCTTAATAACAAATAAGTGTCAACCAGCTTAGAGAACCCAAGTATTTAACTTATTGAAGCATCACATGAATTGCATCACAGAACTTCCTACTATCAAATTCTAACCACACTATGCAATATATATATATATATATATATATATATATATATATATATATATATAAGTAAAATTGTATAGAAAGCGCTCAAAAGGGGAGCGAAACCCGAAAGAAATACAAAAGGCTAGCAAGAGCCTCAAGCCTTCAAAGAGGCCAAAAATTCGACAATCTCCTCTAAAGATCTAAAACTTCTCCCTGAAATCCAACAAAAAAGAGTGGAAATAATATAGAATTTAAGAATAGAAATGGGCAACTCCTTCCCATCAAAATATCTCCTATTCCTCTCAAGTCATAAACACCACCAAACACAGAGGCATAGCCCTCCAAGCATCCCGAATATGAGCCCCCACAGAACAGCCTCTTCAAGCCTCTATCAACCCTCTAGCGGATCCAGGCATCACCTAGAGATTCCCAAACAGACCAAGCATCAAATCCTAACATTCCTTGGCTATGGTGCAGTATAAAAGAAGGTGATCCACTGTTTCCTCATCTCAAAGACACATATAACAACGATTGACCACTACCTGATTTCTCCTTCTCAAGTTATTCTGGGTTAAAATCTTTCCCAAAACAGAGGTCCAAGCAAAGAAGGCCACCTTGAGAGGAGCCTTTGAGTGCCAAACAGACTTCCAAGGGAAAGGACCTCCAAGCTCCTCCGTGAGACACCTGAAAAAGGACCGAACCTCGAAACGACCCTGAGAGTTAGAAGCCCAAATCCAACAATCAGAATCTCCATCCCTAATCCCCTGTCAATACAACAACTCCAAAAAATAAATGGCATCCTCAATCTCCTAGTCCTGAAAACATCGCCTGAATCGAACATCCCAAAATAGTCTCCCACTATCAAGATGATAACAGATGACTACCATGGCCTGCCTATCCGTAGCAATCCTGAAGAGCCGTGGAAAAGCAAGAGCCAAAGGAAGATCCCCACACCAGACGTCCTCCCAAAAACCAATCCTCCTACTATCCCTGAGACGAAAGCGAACATGTTTGGAGAAATCAGCCCACCCCTTCCAAATGAACTTCCAAACCCCCACTCCCCTTGGACCACGCACCTCAAGAGAGCTCCACCTTCCTCTACTCTCCCCAAATCTACTAGCAACAATCCTCCTCCAAAGCCAATGCCTCTCCACCCCAAATCTCCACAGCCATTTCCCATGGAGAGTTTTATTGAAAGGTACCAATCTTCTAAACCCCAAACCTGCACTCCGAATCGGCCTGCACACTTGCTCCCATTGAACCAGATGAAACTTGAACTCCTCTCCCCCCCCCCCCCCCCCCTTAGAAAGTTTCGCTGCAATCTTTTAATCCTCTCAGCCACAGAAGAGGGAATCTGAAATAGAGAGATAAAATAAGTGGGAAGGGAAGAAAGGGTGCTCTTAATCAGCGTAACCCGACCACCCTTGGAGAGGTATTGCTTCTTCCAACCCGCCAGTCTCCTCTCAAACCTATCCACAATAGAATCCCATACTCCCACACACCGTGAAGTAGCTCCCAGGGGCAACCCTAAGTACAAGATAGGAAAAGAGGCAGTATGGCAACCAAGAATATCAGCAAACATCGCGATCTCAGGGACCTCCCCAACCGGCACCAAGATGCTCTTTCCAACATTCACCTTAAGGCCAAAGACAACTTGGAACCAGATCATAACACATCTCAGATATCTAAGCTAAGACACATTTACATCACAAAGAACAAGAATATCATCAGCAAACATCAAATGGGAGATCTCCAACTGAGAAGTAGTATCCTGGCCACCTGGAAACCTCTCAGAAAACCCAACTCCATAGCCCTTCTCATCAATCTACTAAGGGCATCCATCACAAAAAGGAACAAGAAAAGGGAAAGCGGATCCCCCTGCCTCAAGCCCCTCGGGCTAGAGAAAAATCCCATCGGAGCTCCATTAACAAGAATCGAGAAACGAGCACTAGAAATACAGAAATGAATGCATTTCCTCCGACGAACACCAAACCCCATCCTCTCCATCAAGTAGATAAGGAAGCTCCAATTCACATGATCGTATGCCTTCTCAATGTCCAACTTACACAGAACTCCCGGAACCCCACTGCTCAATCCGGAGTCCACACACTCGTTAGCAATAAGAACTAAATCCAGAATCTGACGACCTCCCACAAAAGCATTCTGAGCGTCAGAAATGACACTATCCAAAACCTTCCTCAACCTAGAAGCAAGGATCTTGGCAATCAACTTGTGAATGCACCCTACCAGACTAATAGGGCGAAAATCCTTAACAGCGAACCACCCACCCCCCCCCCCCCCCCCCCCCCCCCCCCCTTTTTCGGAATGAGAGCAATGAAAGTGGCATTCAAGTTCTTCTCAAAGGAGCCCAAA